GTCATTGATAATCAAAATAATTTGGAGACGCCGTGCACACCGAATATTCCGTAGAATAAGTTATCAGCCGTGACAATATCAGCAAGTTAGGCGACACGCGACACGCGTGCGGCTCGGATCCGATTCCGATCGTATTAAAAGTTGGAACTAGTTTACGTGAGCGACTGCTAACCGGGCCGGACCGGGCCAAACCGGGCGGCACACCGTCCCATGCGATCTGTCTCATCTAACGCAATTTATTGTACACAGAATTTGCTTAGACCTGCTTATAGTTTTCAGTCAAAACCAGAATCTAATTTATAATGATAAAGTTATTCATATTTATATTATAGTTTACCCAGTTCTCTGGGGATTTGAGTCAGCAGCTTTGATACCTACCTACCAAATTGGGACATCAAATGAGAAGAATAAATGTTCCGAAATTCTGAAAAAATTCGTGACAACATCATGACTATGCTGTGCCCAGATGTGAGACAGTGTGTGTATGCGTGTATGTATGTGTGTATTGAGTGAGCTCTGTCCGCAGTTGTTTGTAGCAAAACATTGCGAGGGCGGCTTGCTACAGACTGTAAGATGTAGCAATTTTACTGAAAGCACTCATATTTCAGACATTTTACACAAGCCACGCTTTGAAGGTTACAAGAAAAATATTTTCATTCATGTTTCAGTATCTGCGTACCTATTACCGAGCAATACTTAAATAAACACGGCACCGAAATACACCGTCCTATTTCTTCTAAAGAGAACTCTTGTAAACGAAGTACCGCACCCAATTTGTCTAGAACTGCTTCACCCCCCTCCGCGGGAGGCGTGTGGATGTGTGCGGGGATTATGTTTGAGGTTCCGCAGGTCTTGCTTGATTGGTTGCAAGTGCGGGAAGTCCCAACAAGTGGGCAAGTTTTAATGGTGTGGAAATTGCGTTTTTGTTTGGTGTTCGTATCTGCGATGTGCCTGTTTTCAAGTAAATCTGTTGTCTTTCAGGACTTTTGACGATGCAGGTGCAAGGCACATATAGTGGAGACTTCGTTTTATTTACATATTTCTTCTTCATATTATTGTTTTACTCCACCGCCCTTGCCCGGGCCTGAACAAAGGACATGAAATCTTAATTTTCTTTATTCCCTTCCTGGCTCGCTTACAAATACAAAGTATAAGAGTTTCAACATTTCAAGGCAAGAATATAAAACTTGATGTCCAGTTTTTCTTCAGTTAACATAATAGCGTCTATTAAGTCAGTGCATTTAAATAAAGTTTTAAAAGCGAAGTGCTTCATGGCGGTGATTCCGCTCGGCTGGCTCACGGCGGCAACTTCCACTGCCATGGTAATTAACCCCCTTCCGTCCCCACAGAGCAGACCTTGATCAACGTATAGCTACCGATTACAGAACTGTCCAACTTCAGCTGAAGACATTACACGAACGACTTGAACGTAACTCTCATTATATGTACACAGACCTAAGCTACATTCATAATGGCAATACTGTAGATACATTCATAATGGTTAATGGTGATATTCAACAAATTGAATGTCAGTCTTAAAAAGTGTAAATCGTCACAAAATGTCCGGAAAGTATTTATTTCACCTGTAGATGGAGCAGACTCGCTATAATAAGCTTACATCGCAATTTTTAAGTCTCAGATCTCCGAGCGAAGTCGCCGGTTTCAATGCAAAAGTTTTAATAGACCGCGATTATGACATTCTTTCTTTTTATTTGGCCACTTTGAGTTTCCCTCGCTCCGTACTTTGTTACAACGTCAACATTTCACAGTTTCAAACTGATGGAGATTTATGGCGCGAAATTGAGTCGCTCTATTAAACCAACTATTTGAGTCCACGTCAAGTATTAGAAGAATATGTACAGAGGTCGCTAGTGTTTTATTGGTTTCCGCCAAGGGTTTTTGTTGATGGTTTTATTGTATTATATTTTCTTTGAACACTTTCATTAAGGTTTTAAGAAATTTTATTAATAGAATATCGTAATTTAGTTCTATTTTATGATTTATATAAGAAATAAATCGTGTTCATGAATTTGAAATATATTTTTACGATTTTTATTTGTCAGTGAAGTGAATATAGAGTAAAATACGAGGATTAATATTTTTTTGTTTTTATGATATGTTTATTTACAAATAGTTCCAAGATTTATTCATTTTCATATATAAAAAACAGTATATCGTCCTAGCAGTCTTGGACCATAGATCGATTTTCGACTTGATAAAATCGAACTCTGTCAATATGGCTCCAGTTTTCGTGGGCTTGTACCCACAAGCCCATTCTAAATAAAGGCGAGCCTGTCGCCACATTTTGAGCTGAATTTCAGTACTTACGCAGTTGTAATAAAACATTTTATTCTTTTTTAAACTTCAACGGTTAGTTGGACATTCTGCAGACATATTGGTTGAACCTGACACCTTTTACTAGACAGAAGTGTTTGCAAATATTCGTATAGCAAAATAAATTATTTCCCTATATTCGTGTGATATCTTCTAATCTGGCGGTATATTAAGTAAAGCATATCTCATATATATATATGTATATGAAGCTACACATTAACTTCAGGGAAAATCAATTGAACCATGAGCACACGAATATCGACATCTGTCGGATTTGATCTAAAGCTTTTGTCAATATGGAAGAGAGGTTCAATACGCATCCGATGTCGCCATGGTAACGGTGTATTCTGGAGGATCAAAGCTTTCCTTCCAGGAAAATGTGGCACCGGAACTGAACTAACAAACTTTTTTTTTCGAGGAAATATTTCTTTATCCTTGCACAATTTAGAAAAAACGAATTTCATATTTAATGCTGGCTTTACAGTTGTCAATACTCCATCAATATTCACCAGTAAGAGTTTCCTCGGGGAAACGTTTTCTCAGCACAAAATGCGCCAGTTTTTGCATCCTACCTTTGAGAGATTCCGTCTGCTAAATAATTATTTGATTTCAATTTGCATTAAATTTACGGGAATATTGAGGATCGTATCGATGATGACTGTAGGAAGACTGTTTATATTAAATTTATTTTAAAAATGTCTCGAGAGCTCGCAATCCTGTATGAGTCTGAGACTTGGTATTATTGTCGCAGAATCACTCCAATATTAGTAAAGAAGTTGTGTTCCCCACTACACTTAAATGTACTGTTGTAAAAAAAATAGTATCAAGTAGGTATTCAAAGTGTCTACTCGTTAGGTTTATTTTAAGACAAACAGTAAATACATAGCAATTTTACGTCAGCTCACCTTTTAGGTATAATTAAAGCATCTCTACTTAGATCCACTCAAGTTTCTGGATCTCAAACAGCGTCGCACAATGTCGGACACACGCCCATTGTCGGCCATGGCACTTAATATTTATTGGGGTCTGACATAAAAGACATCGTTAGCGTGTACTTTGGAATTAAGATGCAGAGAATAGACCTGTCGTGTCGCCCGCAAATGGGAAGTTTGGCATTCTCCTTAACACATAAGCCATGGTGGACATGTGTAATAAGTACGGCCTTCAAATGCTTACAAAGAAGACGCACTTAATTTATAATAATGTAGTAATTAATCATAAAGAAGGTGGTACAGGCTTCTAAAGTTAGAACAAAGATTACCCAAATCTAAAACTAATCAAAAGTTTTAGGTACAAGATTGTATTTTTTATAATATTTTAAAATTAATAGTTTACATAACCAATAGCTACGTTATGTGTCCCTACCCTACAGAGCACGAACTCTCTCACAATATTCAGATGTACGCTGTTTTACAAAACAGTTTAAAAAGGCTCACCGCAAGGTTCTTATAAACAGTATCGGCTTTGACACGGTCTAACCGCCACGCTCCGAGGCGCCCTCTATAGCTGGATTTTTACATAACTTTGTATGAAAATCGTATTATCTTGACAAGCGCGGACTAAGAATAAACTCACACACGGGAAAAAGTTACGTCACGATACTATATGTATACGTGTGTATGATGTTGTCGATACAAAAAAAAATTTAGGTGGTCCGAGGATGAGGCGTCACATAAAGTGGAATTTTGAAAATGTGACATTGCATGCTGGCGTCGTGCGCTTCAAATTGCACTTGTTCTATTTGAGACAATTGTTTTTGTCGTGTTCTTTTACAGATTCATTCATAGTATAAATTAATGAGATTCTACGTTAGAATATGAATTTCATACCCTACCGTAGAATCAAATGTACATTGACACTCATCCACCATGAAATTACAACGTATTTGACCAACCCTAATAAAAAGATTAACATGTCGAAGCCTGAAATACACAAGTAGCAAGATCTCTTACAAAGTGAAACTTCTGTTGTTTGTCTGTGTTCTTTGTAACAGTTTTGTCGTAAAAAGCCGCTCATTGCCGCCTTCGCATCTCATTACCGGTGGAGAGGATTAGATTAGGTGTCGGCATGACTAGGTGCCTAGGTGTGAGCTGAGCAAACATTGCGTAAGCAACACGCGGCCGTGACAAACAAGTTTACACAGAAATTGTGATGTTGTGAAATTATACAGCACTGCCACTGCCGAGCCACGCAGAATGATCAACAGAGCACACGGACCTGGAACAATAATAGGAATTACTAAGAGAACTTTAACCTTACAACTAAGAAAAACTCAGTATCTGTTACAAGCTAATTTAGAGCTGTTACAATCAATATTTGCACAAGAATTAATCAATAATATTAGTTTTACATTTAAATATAAAAAAATGGCCCTTGATCATGGCATCACGAGTGAATGGCCCAGCCGATTCCGATTATGCTGTTCTTAATGAGATTGATTCTAAAAAAGGTAGTAGTCAGTCATTTGAGAAAAGAAATAAGAAAAGTTGAGGAAAAAATTGGGAAATAGCACGCCTTTCGGTTGCGTAGCGGTTCGTTAATATTGACTGACACCCGTGCGAAGCAAGGAGCCTCTTTAATATAATAATGCATGTACCTCTCCCTTTAAGGGTATTGTTGACCGTACCTATACTTGTGATACTAACGGTGCCCTCTGTGTGTTGCAGCATACCGCAAGTGTCAGACTGATGACTTCCAGTGCGGGATGGAAGGCGCCGGTCCTGGCAAGATCTCATCTCAGGGACCCTGCATACCTAAGGAGAAGAAATGTGACGGGTGAGCAATTAACATGTTTACTTCACTAACTTGAACTTACCTATAGATATACATACGCTTTATGTCTTCCAAGACACTTCTTCAACATAACGTGAAACTGTTTGGTGTGGCAGGTACTTAGACTGCAGAACAGGTCGCGACGAGCAAGACTGTCCGGGCCAGCAGCTGGCCTGCAGGCTCGACCAGTTCCGGTGTGCGGCTGGCAACAAGTGCGTGGACGCCTCCGTCAAGTGCGACCACAAGGACGACTGCGGCGACAACTCGGATGAAGCACATTGCAGTCAGTATCACGAACTCACTTCTACCGAGGAATTAATTAATTCGTTTTTCTTGTTTTCTTTATAACATCGCATGGAATTGACACACCATAATTACTTTGATAGGTGAATTTTAAAATACTTTTCTATTTTCAATTTAAGTTTGAATATGCTAGTTATTCTGACGTCCTCCTGTAGGCTTCCCACCGTGCCATATTGGGCAGTTCCGCTGCAGCAACGCTCTGTGCATCCCCGCGACGTATCACTGCGACGGTTACAAAGACTGCTCCGATGGCTCGGACGAGGCTAACTGCACCGCCATCGCCTGCCCCGACAACAAGTACCTCTGCCCCAAGGGCGGGCCGGGCGGCACGCACAAGTGTATCGCCAGATCACAGCTCTGCGACGGCAAGAAGGACTGCGAAGATAATGCTGACGAGGAGACTGCTTGCTGTGAGTATCTTACTACTCGCTACCGGAACACTATATAAACAATCACGTTAACACAAGTTATCGACTTTGTTAAGTACTTACTCCTAAAGAAATAACTTTTTACAATACTCATGGGCAGAAAGTAAATCATAAACCCAATTACATCTTTATACTCCACGTGGCACCTCAGAATATGAATAAATACAAGTTCCAACGTGCTGCGTCGTCTATATGATCTTGTTTTAGAACTGGTTCATATATATATGTATGTTAATGTTATTATTGCTGATCTAACTGTAACTACAATATATGTTTTTTAATATCCAAAAATGAAAATTTATAAATTTAATGTACCTCAGAAGACACTGGTCCAAACTTATCAATACTTAATATTAAAAAAAATAAGAGTTTGTTTGTTTGAACGCGCTAATCTCATGAAATACTGGTTCGAATTGAAAAATTCTTCTTGCGTTGAATCGACCATTTATCGAGGGAGGCGTTACGCTCTATAATATCACGTTACAAATCGCGCGATAGAAGCTAGTATAAAATAAGAATATTTACAACTTATTTGTATAATAAAAACTAAAAAGTCCCGGCAATGGTAAGCAAGGTTTACCGCGATTGTCTTTTGTGTACGAGGCCAAGTGTGACTTGCAGCAACGGCATCCTGTCCGGCTCTGGAGTGCGAGTACAAGTGCGTGGCGTCCCCTGCGGGCGGAGCCTGCGCCTGCGCTGCTGGGCTCACGCTGGCGGCAGACAACAGGACCTGTGTGGACCGGGACGAGTGCAAGGAGTGGGGATACTGCCACCAACTCTGCATCAACACGCCCGGATGTGAGTATAAACACCGACTGAGCAGTTATCAGTTGATTCGCATTGGCATATTTATAAATATTTCACGATACGTGTTCCAGCGTACAAGTGCGCATGTGCGCCGGGCTACACGCTGGTGGACAGCGGGCGGTGCTCGGCGGTGGCGTCGTCCGCGCCCTCGCTGCTGCTGGCCCACGCCGGCGCCGTGCTGCGCATGGACCTGCACGGCCGCGCCCCCGTCACCGTCGCCAATGCCACCGCCGCGGCCGGACTCGACTACCACTATCGGAAGAATCTGCTGTTCTGGTCCGATCTTAAGACAAGAAAGGTAAACTAGATTCATATTTATGTTGCTTTGTGGGTTTATATTCACCGGTAACTGTTACATTAACAAAAGGTTAATGCAATGCAATCGGTCTGTGAAACTGATCTTGACATGTAGTTATGATTTAACATTTCCCTAACACCATATTTTAGATCCACTCGCAGCAGCTGAGCGTGCCCGCTGGTGTATCCAGCTACACGGGCACTGACATCACGGTCGCCGGCTCCTGGGCTCCGGTGGCACTAGCCGTGGACTGGGTGGGCGACAAGCTGTACGTGGCGGACGCCATCGGGCAGAAGATCGATGTGTTCGAGCTGGACGGACGCTGGCACGCCGTCGTGCTGGGCTCCAACCTTACCAACCCGGCTGATCTAGCACTAGACCCCACACTGGGACTCATGTTCGTCGCTGATAGCAGTCAGGTAAAGAGTGCAAAAAAGTATCACTATAATATGACAATATGCTTTTATAAGCTCTGTTATGAACAACAACCTCACCTTGTTACTAACTTATTTGTTTTTGTACTCCATAGATCATCAGGGCAAATATGGATGGAACACACTCAAAGGCGATAGTCTCGGAGGCAGCATACAAAGCTTCTGGTATAGCTGTTGATATCATCGCACGAAGAGTATTCTGGTGTGACTCGCTCCTGGACTACATAGAAACTGTGGACTATGAAGGTAACCATCGATTCCTGGTTCTTAGAGGCCAGCAGGTGCCCAGCCCCTCCAGACTGGCACTGATCGAAGACAGAGTCTATTGGTCGGACAACACGAAACAAGGAATAAGCTCTGTAAACAAATATGAAGGACCGTCCAGCATACAGGCTATATACAAAATGAAGGACATCAGAGAACCGAAGGCGATCACTGTGATCCACTCGCTGAAGCAGACCTCGGTGAACAACCCGTGCGGCACCAACAACGGCGGCTGTTCCCAGATGTGTATCGTCACGGCGCTGCAGAACGGAGGGCTCGGGTACCGCTGCGCCTGCAACATCGGCTACCGGCTTGAGACCGATCTAAGGAATTGTGATCTTGTTAAGGAATTCCTTATGTATTCCCAGCAGCGGTTTATCAAAGGAAAAGTCTTGAACCCTGTTATTGAAGGTTTCAGTGACGCTATTCTCCCAGTTGTGTCCAAGAGGGCCAGATTTGTAGGACTAGACTTTGATGCGCGGGATGAGCACATTTACTACTCCGATGTGTTACAAGATGTGATATACAGGGTGCATCGAAATGGAACAACGAAAGAAATTGTCTTAGCATCACAAAACGAAGGAGTAGAAGGATTGGCAGTCGATTGGGCTTCTAAAAACCTTTACTATATCGATTCCCGGAAAGGTACGCTAAACGTTTTATCGACAAGAAATGTAGCTTACAAACGAACCTTACTGAAAGACTTGAAGAGGCCGCGTGCCATAGTGGTACACCCTAACAAAGGATTTATATTCTTCTCGGAGTGGGACAGACCCGCCAACATCAGCAGAGCGTACACAGACGGCACCAACTTGTTAGTGTTCGAGAATGTCACACTTGGCTGGCCCAATGGTTTGTCTATAGACTTCGATGCGGATCGTTTATACTGGTGTGACGCCTTGCTAGACCACGTCCAGCACTCTAAACTCGACGGCACGGATGTCAAGACAGTCAATTCGAGACTCATCAGACATCCGTTCTCCATCGTCATCCACAAAGAGTTCATGTATATCACTGACTGGAGACTTGATGCCATTGTACGGTTGCATAAGCTGACTGGGGAACAAGAAGACATCATGGTGCGCGAGCCACAAACGAACAGACTTTACGGAGTGAAAGTGTATAGTGAAGAGATTCAGAGGATAGATCCCATGCAGCCATGTTCTAGGAACAATGGGAACTGCCAGAAACTCTGTTTCGCCGTGCCCAGAAACAACACGGAGCTTTTAACCGTCAAATGCGGATGTCCTTACGGAGAAAAGCTCGCTCCTGACGGCACCAGCTGCATCGCCGACCCCAACTCCGAGCCTCCCGTGCAGGCTTGCCCGCACTCCTGGGACTTTACATGTAACAACCAGAGATGTATTCCCAAAAGCTGGGTGTGCGATGGAGATGACGATTGCCTGGACAACAGTGACGAAGAACAGAATTGCACCAGTGAGTACTACACGTGACTGTCTTGAAATATTTATATTATATATACCTTAACTTATTTATCTTCATTACAACACAAATCTCTTTTAGAAACAACGTGCAGTGCCTCAGAATTTATGTGCAAGTCTGGTCGCTGCATCCCCGCGACGTTCAAATGTGACTCTGAGAACGACTGCGGCGACTTCTCTGACGAGACCGGGTGCGTGAACGTGACGTGCTCGTCGTCGCAGTTCCAGTGCGACAACGGACGCTGCGTGCCCAACACATGGAAGTGCGACTCCGAGAACGATTGCGGCGATGGCTCCGACGAGGGCTCACACTGTGCTGAGAAAACTTGCGCTTACTTCCAGGTTAGTCCAACAATTATTTTAAAAAAGAAACTAGTATTCTTTTCAAGAAGAGCAAACTAACTCCAATTTCCTTAGTTCACATGTCCTCGGACCGGACACTGCATCCCCGCGTCGTGGGTGTGTGATGGAGACGACGATTGCTTCGACAAGCAGGACGAGGCTGACTGCCCACCTGTATCCTGCCTGGCTAATCAGTTCAAGTGCGCTGACCTTAAGCAGTGTGTTCAGGTATGGTAAAATATTTAACTAGCGAACATTTTGTCCCGAATCAAAATAACCACCCACAAATTCATAAGTTTAACTATTGGATTATCAATACCTACATAATGGCTTGTATCCTCAGGAGGCGTACAAGTGTGACGGTATCCCGGACTGTAACGACGGTAGTGACGAAGCGGGCTGTCCGTCGCTGGCGCCGCACCAGTGCCAGCCGGACAAACAGTTCCAGTGCAGATCCTCGGGTATCTGCATACCCACTACGTGGTACTGCGACGGTAAGACTAATTGTCAACTTTAAATCAATTTAATACCAAATAGTAGTATGGAGATAACGTGGTGGTGGTCCACGCAGGCACCCCAGACTGCGAGGACCTGTCGGACGAGCCGGCGTCGTGCGGCACGGTGTCGTGCGCCAACAACTACTACCGCTGCCACAACGGCCGCTGCGTCTTCAAGGCCTACGTCTGCGACGGACACGACGACTGCGGGGACGGCTCCGACGAGGGGCTCGAGCACGCATGCAAGCCGCCACCCTTCAGGTACACTCACACTTCTTGCCTTAGCTCACTACCAAGAAAATGGATAACATACGTAGGTATACATGTAATATGCCTCACTCGATGTTCTTCAAACTATAAATTCTCGTATTATACATTACAGGTGTCCCTCTCATCAATGGCAATGTCCAGGGGTCACAGGCAGATGTGTCAACATCACTCAAGTTTGTGACAGTAAATTTGACTGTCCCAACGGCGCGGACGAAGGTAATACAAAATGTTAAATTTGAATCATAAATATAATTTCTGTGTTCAATAAAAATACAACTTATATAATTATTTATTACATTTTGTAATATTACAGGTGCCAGCTGTGATTTCGCTGAGTGTGAACACCAAGATGGTCTATGTTCTAACGGCTGCAAACAAACTCCTAACGGACCACTGTGTCTGTGTCCTCCCGGGGAAGAGCTGGATGTGGATGGCTCCAACTGCAAAGATATCGACGAATGTAATCCGCCAGGTCTCTGCTCACAGACCTGTACCAACACTAAGGGCTCGTACGTGTGTTCCTGTGTCGACGGGTACATCCTCACCATCAATAATCACACCTGCAAGGCAAACAACCACTCCAGCGCCTTCCTCATTATATCCAACAGACATTCCATCTTAGTAGCTGACCTCAATGAACAAGGCCTAGAAAGGGTCCCAATAAATGTAGAAAATGTGGTTGCAACAGCTTCTAACATGCACACCGGAACTATATTTTGGTCCGACATGAAACTGAAAAAGATCTCCCGGTTAGATCGCGGCAGCGAGCCCCAGGTAATTATATCGACTGGACTAGACCTCGTTGAAGGGCTGGCGTACGACTGGGTGGGAGGAAACATTTATTGGTTAGACAGCAAACTCAATACTATCGAAGTAGCAAAAGAAGACGGCAGTGCCAGAACAGCCTTGCTAAGCGGTAACATCACACAACCAAGGGGAATGTGTTTGGATCCAGCTCCCAATGCCAGGTGGCTGTTCTGGACGGACTGGGGAGAGAACCCTCGTATTGAAAGAGTGGGTATGGACGGTACACAGCGGTCAGCTATCATCACTACCAAGATCTACTGGCCGAACGGCTTAACTTTAGACACCGCCACACAAAGAGTGTATTTCGCAGATTCCAAGTTGGACTTTATTGACTTCTGTTACTACAACGGCACAGGAAGGCAACAGGTGCTGGCCGGCAGCCACTATCTTTTGCATCCTCATTCCTTAACTTTGTTCGAGGACACACTATATTGGACAGACCGACAATTGAACAGAGTATTGTCCGCACACAAATTCAAAGGATCCAATCAAACAGTGGTGTCTCACCTGATCTCTCAGCCTCTGTCCATCCACGTGCACCATCCCTCGCTGCAGCCACTGTACACGTCTCCCTGCAAGAAAGACTCGTGTCAGCATCTTTGTTTACTCAGTCCTAACAAGACAGTAGGATATACATGCATGTGCAAACCTGGATTTAAACTGTTACCGGATGGCAAATGTGTGGAAGGTAACGTTATCATGTTTATTTATAAGTCGTTTGTCTCTTTTTATTAAAATTGTCATTTCTACAGTGCAGTTTTTCTATTGCAGAGGAAGCTGCATATCTTATGGTGCTTAAAGGAACACAAGTGATAGATTTATCAACAGATGGATCTGGCCGAGCTGGACAACTTGCTCCTATAGTGGGCATTCAAGGTACTTTATAATATTCATCAATATTTTTTTATTTATCTCGCTTGACCCCTTAGTATTTTCCCCCGATGTCTTGGGTGTATTCACAAATCTACACAATACCTGCACATAAGCTTTGAACATAATGACAACCGAAACATTGCAATACTGTAAATCAGATTTCTAAATTTGTATTAATTGTATTTCCCAGGTGGAGTCCAGTTGGACTACGACAGGCAAGGACACATGTTATACTGGCTGCAGTCCATATCCGGCGACAGTGACGACGATGAGAACTGTACCATCTACAGTATGCCCTACGGCGGTGGTAATAAAGTTGAGTTCTTTGGGTCCGACACCGGCATTGTTGGAGCACCTTCCTCCATAGCGTTCGATTGGCTTGGAAGAAACTTGTACATGGCAAACAGAGTAGCCAGTAATATTGAGCTGGTCAGAGTCGACGGCAAAGTGAAGTATAGGTCTATTGTAATGGCTAATGACGGTAGCAGAGCTTCCGTAGCTAAACCACGAGGGATTTGCTTGGATCCTACCGAAGGGTAAGTTTATAATGTAACGTAACCTATTTTTAATATATAAATACGTACAAAAGAGATAATAACTGGGAAAAAACATATTATTGAGTATAATAATTGTTGTAATAAATTAGGAGTTCTTTATAATAATATGAGTTACCTTTTTCTTTTCAGAAAAATGTACTGGTCCGACGAAGGTGGGTTTGGAGTTCCAGCAAAAATTGGTAAAGCTAACATGGACGGCTCTAATCCTATTATCTTGGTTGACACAATCGAAAGGCCAGAGGCAGTCACCATCGATGTAGAAAAGAAGATCATCTATTTCAGCACCCAATTCCCGGCCAGCATCAACAGTGTTAATACTGAAGGCAATGATAGAAAAACCATCTTAACTGAAACTAATGCTATTTCTTACCCTAAGGTCATAGCCGTACTTGATTCAAGGCTATACGTCCTAGACCCTCTACATGAAAAGATTATCAAGGCTGATCTACCCAACGGTGACAATATTAAAACTGTATTAGACAATGAGAGCGATTTGAAATCTTTCACAATATTCCAAAAGAGGAAAATGGTGCACCATCCTTGCTCCCAAAACAATGGCGGATGTGAGCAAATCTGTATTCCTGGCGACGGTGGGTCCCGCATCTGTGCGTGCTCAGTTGGCTATAGAAAGGAGAACGAAATCAACTGTGTGCCTTATAAAACGTTTGCAGTAGTATCCCAACTAGATCTGATCCGCGGATACAGTATCGATTCTAGCGCTGAAGCTATGGTACCAGTCACCGGCGTAGGCCACCACATACTTCACGTAGACGTCCATTTCGCCGAGAACTACATTTATTGGGTGGAATTCAATCGCGGACAATGGAACGGTATTTTCCGTATCAGACCAAACGGCACAGAACTGCAACATATTGTTAAAGATGGTATCGGTAGCAATGGCATCAGAGGTTTAGCCGTGGACTGGGTGGCTGGAAACCTTTACTTTACCAACGTCTTCCCTCATGAAAATTATGTAGAAATGTGTTGGCTCGACGGATCAAACAGAAAAGTTTTAGTGAAAACCACAATGGATGCTCCAAGAGAGCTAGCCGTTAACCCTCTAAAGAGATTATTGTATTGGATAGATTACGGCCAGTACCCAAGAATCGGTAAGGCTTACTTAGACGGCAGTAATTGGCAAACCGTTGTCAGCTCTGGGATATCTAACCCGAGAGATTTAACCATCGATATGTTGACCCACGACGTCTACTGGGTTGATTCCAAACTTGATCAGATTCAAAAGATTTCTTATAATGGCGGTAACAGACAACTAATAAGATCGAACTTACCCAACCCAATGGGTGTCGCCATCCACACAGGAAGCGTGTACTGGGTAGATAGAAACTTACAAACTATCTACAAAGCATCAAAGTTGCCAGGAAACATGTCAATGCCTGAGAAAGTGAGAATAAATCTCCCGAAACTAAGAGACATTGTTATATTTGATGTAAACAATCAGCCTACAGACGAAAACAACCCTTGTAGAAAACTGGGTAACGGAGGATGTGACCAACTTTGCTTCAGTTATCCACCAGAAGCTAACAAAGGCTACACGCATAGATGTGATTGTGCCACAGGACAAATCTCTGCTTCCAACCCAAAGAAATGTGACGTTGTTGATGAATATCTGGTATTCACTACCAGAACCGAAATTCGTGCCATTAATTTGGATCCGAAGTCGACTGGAGTCCCATTCAAACCAGTAGTGAACCTAACAAATGTAGTAGGAGTTGAATTTGATTATACTGATAATAAATTGTTCTTTACGCAAATCAGGCCATGGGCTAGAATAGGATGGATGTCTGCAAACAATCCGGATCCTTCTACCATTCAGAATATTATCAGTAAAGGCATAAACCCTGAAGGAATATCTTATGACTGGACACAGAAAAAGGTCTACTGGACAGATAGCTCAAATAACTCCATCTATGCCATGAACCTAGACGGTTCCGAACTGGTAATGATTGCTCGAGTTGAACGCCCAAGAGCCATAGTTGTTGATCCTTGCAATGGAACCTTATATTACACCGACTGGGGCAGATTCGGAACTTCTGGTAAAATCTACAGAACAACCATGGCAGGATCATTGAAGAAAGCGATTATTGACAAGGACTTGTCACAACCAAGTGGATTGACCATCGACTTTGATGAGAACATGCTTTACTGGACGGACGCTGTCCGAGAAAAAATTGAACGATCGAAACTTGATGGTTCTGACAGGGAAGTCCTCATTAGCGCCACAATATATCCGTTTGCAATAACTGTATTTGGCAACTACATTTACTGGACTGACCTCCAGCTCCGTGGGGTATATAGAGCAGAAAAACATACTGGCGCTAATATGATTGAGATGGTCAAGCGACTGGAAGACTCCCCTCGTGATATCCATATATACAGTCCGAGCAGACAGAAGTGTCAAGTGAATCCGTGCAAGATAAGTAATGGTGGATGTGCACACAGCTGTCACCCTGCACCCAACAACACAGTCGAATGTAAGTGTGATGATAACACCAAACTAGTGAACGAAGGAAGAATGTGTGTAGCCAAAAACATCACCTGTGATGCTAGTAAATTCTTCTGTGCTAATGGCAAATGTATCAGCAAAATGTGGTCATGTGATGGTGATGATGACTGCGGTGACAATTCGGATGAAGATAAAAACTACTGTACTTACCATTCATGTTCACCTAGTGAATTCCGCTGTAATAATGGCAGGTGTATCTTCCAGTCTTGGAAGTGTGACCACGAGAATGATTGCAAAGATGGCTCTGATGAAGAGGGTTGCGTATATCCACCATGTGCCGAGGGAGAGTTTACTTGTTTGAATTCTCGTTGTATACCAATGTCTCAAGTTTGTAACGGCATCAATGACTGTAAAGACAATATTACATCAGATGAAACACATGAACGTTGCCCGATGAATACCACTTGTCCAACAAATCATCTCAAATGTGAAAAGACAAACATTTGTGTCGAACCTTACTGGCTCTGCGATGGAGATAACGACTGTGGGGACAATTCTGATGAAGATCCCCTACACTGTGCTCAGAGGACGTGTCCGCAAAACAGTTTCCGTTGTCCCAACCACAGATGCATACCTGCTACTTGGTACTGCGACGGTGACGATGACTGCGGTGATGGTGCTGACGAACCTCCAGAATATTGCCGCTCCGAAGGTCGAACTTGCTTTGGAGATCTCTTTACATGTGATAACGGCAACTGCATACCAAGAATCTACATTTGTGATGGTGACAATGACTGTTTGGACAACAGTGACGAAGACGACCGTCATCAATGTAATGAGCGTAAGTGCGACGCTGAGACCGAATATACATGTGAAGAGAACAAGTTCTGGCAACGTGCTCAATGTATTCCGAAAAAATGGATATGTGATGGTGATCCCGATTGTATCGACGGTGCAGATGAAAACTCAACTATTCATCACTGCGCTACACCTACACCATGCTCTGAAGATCAATTCCAATGTAATAATGGCCGCTGCATTAATGAAGGCTGGGTATGCGATCATGACAACGATTGTGGTGATGGCTCCGATGAAGGCAAACGTTGCAACACTCAATACAAGCAATGTACTGACCAAGAGTTCAAGTGCCAGAACTTCAAATGTATTAGAAATCATTTTAGATGTGACGGTGAGGATGATTGCGGAGACCACTCTGACGAAGTCGGTTGCGTTAAAGAAAATAAAACATGTCCTGCAGGACAATTCAAATGTAACAATGATCAATGCATTGACAACAGGTTGGTTTGTAACAAGGTATCAGACTGTACCGATGACTCTGATGAACCTCCTCATTGCAATATCGACGAATGCGCTAAATTGGAGATCAATCAGTGCGGCCACAAGTGTATTGACACACTGACCGGATACTACTGTGATTGTAATCAAGGCTACAAGTTGCTAGCAGATGGCAAAGCATGCGCTGACATAGATGAATGCATAGAAACACCAGGAGTTTGTTCGCAATACTGCTCAAACACTCCTGGATCGTATTACTGTAAATGTAACGAACAGTATTACGAAAGGGAGCCTGATGAGCATACTTGTAAACGAAAGGATAATACTTCTGCATGGATTATATTTACGAACAAGTATTACGTGAGGAACATGTCCACAGATGCCAGTCTGTATAACCTCATGCATCAAGACTTGATGAACGTTGTTGCTATAGATTTTGATTTCAAGGAACAAAGAATGTATTTCGCTGACGTTTCGGCTAAAACAATCTACAGATCGAATTATACAGATCCCAATCCCACCAAAGAAGTGGTCATCAGACATGACTCTCATGGATTAGAAGGCATCGCAATTGATTGGATTGGAAGGAAGTTGTACTGGCTTGATAGGCATTCCAAAAACTTGGATGTTTCGGAACTAGATGGTACCAGAAGAAAAACTTTAAAGACTGGTGTTATAGACCCTCGAGCAATAGTTGTGCATCCTGGGACGGGTTACCTTTACTTTACATCATGGCATTTGCAAGCGTACATTGGTAAATTGGGAATGGATGGTTCCAACTTCACTTCTATTCTTAACTGGGAAGACGATATTGCATGGCCAAATGCGCTGACCATTGATTATTTCACTGACAGAATATACTGGGCTGATGCACATTTGGATTACATTGGTTCAGCGGATTTAGAAGGAAGACATAGGCACGTTGTACTGTCTGGCTCGAAAGTACCTCACGTCTTTGCTCTTAGCCTTTTCGATGACGAAATTTTCTGGACTGACTGGAACCTCAAGGCAATCAGCAAAGCAAACAAGCATTCTGGTGAAAACTTGACAATTTTAAGAAACACAACTCATAGACCTTATGACATTCACGTAGTTCATCCATTGCGACAGTTACCATATCCTAACCCTTGTGGTGATAACAACGGAGGATGCTCGCATCTATGTCTACTTGCCCCACCACATGCTTCCAGCTATTTGAACATCGAGGGTTACGGAGAAGAAGGTGCTACAACTTATAAATGCGCTTGTCCTAACCAATTCTACTTAGCTCGAGACATGAAGACTTGTATCGCTAACTGTACTGATGGTCAACATAGGTGCAATGGTCGTGACGAGAAATGTATTCCGTGGTTCTGGAAATGTGATGGTGAGAAGGACTGTATGGACGGTTCTGATGAACCCGAGACTTGTCCGACACGACACTGCAGAGCTGGATCATTCCAGTGCAAGAACACTAACTGTACCCCGGCTGCTACTATCTGCGATGGTACCGATGACTGTGGTGATGGCAGTGACGAAGCTGAATGTGCCCACGAGTGTCCACTCCTCGAATTCAAGTGCAAGTCCAGCGGCAGATGTATTCTTGACAGTTGGAAGTGTGATGGCGACACAGACTGCAAAGATAACAGTGATGAAGATCCAGCCATATGTCATAATAGACCTTGTAATCCCGACACGGAATTCGCATGCAAGAATGGAAGATGTATTCCCAAACTATGGATGTGTGACTTCGATAATGATTGTGGAGACGATTCCGATGAGCCAGCCTACATGTGTAGGCAAAAGAATTGTACTACTGGATGGAGAAGATGTCCAGGACAAGCTAATTATAGATGTATTCCAAAATGGTTGTTCTGCGATGGTAAAGATGATTGTAGGGATGGATCAGATGAATTACCTGAAAACTGTCCAACCTGCAACACCGAGACTGACTTCACATGCGATAACAAACGCTGTATACCAAAACAATGGCTTTGCGACTTCACTGATGATTGTGGAGATGGAAGCGATGAATCTGAATCTGTCTGCCAGCATAAGTATAGAGAGTGTTCTGAATCAGAATTTAAGTGTGGCAACGGAAAGTGTATCTCTTCGAGATGGCGATGTGATCACGAAGATGACTGTGGAGACAATACGGACGAGGCTGATTGCGGCGGCTTCAAGTGCAAGAATGGAACATTCCAGTGTAAATCTGGACATTGTATTGCTGCATACTTTAGATGTGATGGTGACAGGGATTGCAGAGACTTGTCCGATGAAATCGGATGTCCTCCGCGTTATCCTGGTGGCAGATATTGCCCAGAGAGCAGGTAATAAATTAGTATTATGAAATTCGAAATTGAATATTATCACTGTCGAAATTTTTCTTTAACGTTATTTTTTTCAGATTCCAGTGCGCAAATAACCTGTGCGTTTCCCAGTCAGATCTATGTGATGGAACCGACGACTGCGGGGATGGTTCTGACGAGGCGGCCTCTATATGTACTAACTTTAACTGCGATACGTTGAGACGATTCCATTGTGATAATCACAGATGTGTACCTAGGTAAGTGTCTCGAGTTGTGAATCATCATTCGCAGAACAATGTTTTTTGAACGGATCTGAAACATCTGACACATAACTTTTCAGGTACCAAGTATGTGATGGTGTGGACAACTGCGGTGACGGCTCGGACGAGAACAACATGACCCTGTGCGCGGCACGCGTAAAGCCGTGTGACCCTTACACGCAGTTCCAGTGCGCCAACAGACACTGCGTAGAACGTACACAACTTTGTGACTTCGCTGACGACTGCGGAGATGCCTCTGATGAGCTCGGATGCCATCACACGCACACCTGTTCGCATCTCGATAAAGGTCAGATCTCGTTTCAGTTACACGAAAAATTATTTTTACTTGAATTACCAATAGCCGATTTGGGGTCGAATATACCATGAGAAAATTAAAAGAGAGAATCGTTATTGTCACGTGTTTCAGGTGGTTGTGAGCACTTCTGTACCAACCTAACGCAGATCGGTGGAGCGGGTGGCTACATTTGTACTTGCTTCCAAGGCTGGATCATCTCACCCGCCGACAAGAAAAAATGTATCGACGTGGATGAGTGCGCCGCGGGCACGCACCACTGCTCTCAAATCTGTAACAATCTCAATGGAAGCTATAGTTGTGATTGTAGGGAAGGATTCAAGTAAGTAATGAATAAATAAATATGTCACTAAACAAGTTTAGTCAATAATTAATACAAACATTAAACACCGAATCAATTAAAAATATTTTTATTTTAGACTGGCAGATAATTTGTCCGGTGTGTGCAAGGTTGTAGAAGATGACGTTGTTCTGCTATTCGCGAATGGACCAGAAATACACGCATTTGCCCAAGATAAGAACGAAGAGTTTGACGTTATCACTGCTGAGAAGAGAATTGAAGCTATCGACTACGACCCTAAGCACGAGATGATATTCTGGGCGGATAGTTACGACAAAACAATAAAACGATCGTACATGATCAACGCGCTTAACGGACAAGTCAAGAGCGGATTTGCGCAGGACTTGAATATGAAAGGTAACTCCAAACCAACGGCATTAGCGGTTGACTATGTAGGCGACAACTTGTACTGGACGGAAACCGATAGGACTGGTTCCAAACCACGAGGTCGCGTCATGGTGGCGAGAACTGACGGCAGATACCGTAGAGCACTCGTCTCGGCTGGAATCGAAAGCCCAACCTCATTGGTCCTCGACCCACAAATGGGAAGAATGTTCTGGGCAGACGCTGGCTCGGCTCCTAAGATTGAAATTGCCTGGATGGACGGCTCGAAGAGGAGACCCATTGTAACGGAGAACATTAGACATCCTACCGGTTTAGCTATTGATCATCTGATGGATCATTCCATCTACTGGGCCGATACCAAACTAAACACCATTGAAATGATGAGACACGACGGTTCCAACAGAAAAGTCATACTGAAGGGTGATCTACTGAAACACCCGCTGTCTCTGGACGTCTTCGAATCTTCACTCTATTGGGTCACCAGAGAAACGGGAGAGCTCGTGAGACAAGATAAGTTCGGACGAGGAGTGCCATTCGTTATATCCAAGGATCTAGTCAACCCGTCGGCTGTAAAAGGTGAGCTATCACTCGTTTTCTTGGCAACGGTAAGCGATGCGTCATCGGACGGAGACTGAGGGAGTTCTCGTTGCAGTGTACCACCCGCGGCGCTACAACGTGTCGGCGCGCTCGGAGTGCGCACGCGCGCCGTGCTCGCACCTGTGCCTGGGCGTGCCCGCCGGCCGCCGCTGCGTCTGCCCCGACCAGCAACAGCCGCAGAAGCGGCTCACGCAGGAGCTCGCGTGCGACGCAGGTATGTCGCTATTCAAACTGTATAATGAAAACGATTCTCATTTACGATAATATCGGGTCGGGTGTACCCCGGCCTAAGACGTACGGTACGGTGGAGTGACGAGGTCGTTCCCCGCAGCGGTGGAGGCGGCGCGTCCGCTGCCCCGCGTGTGCCCGTGCGAGAACGGCGGCACGTGCGCGGAGTCTGCGGAGGGCGCGCTGCGCTGCGTGTGCCGCGCGCCGCTGCAGCCCCCGCTGTGCGCGGCGGCGGCGGCGGCCACGGCAGCGCGCGCCGCCACGGCCGCCGCCGTCCTCGTGCCGCTGCTGCTGCTGCTGCTGCTGGCGCTGGCCGGCGCCGCCGCATGGTTCGTCATCAGGAAGAGACCCTTGTGAGTACCCGCGAACAGTTAGCTGCCTGCGCTCGCGCACTACCTTTCGTAGTATATCATATATGCGTTAACATGTATAGCGTGGTGGGTTGAACTTAGTTTAGTTCCAGGATTCATAAAGATGGTAAATAATGCGACCTTATAGTCCATTAATGTTATCAGTCTAAAATTCCTTTAGTAGGTACAGTACGGTAACGGTAAGTTGTTTTCATGGATTGATATGTTAGGCCACGGTTTGATGTTAGGAATTATAACAAAAGTGATACAATCGTTGACAATTACTAAGTAAAAATGCATATTTCTCGTACAGCGGAAAGGGTGGCGGACTAAGCAGCCTGGCGTCCTCTCAGAGCGTGTCGTTCCGACAAGGCTCCAACGTGGAGTTTGGCGGCGTGGGGGGCGCGGGAGGCGAGCCTGCCTACACGCTGGAGGAGGCGCCGCGCAAGGGGAGAGACTTCAGCAACCCCATGTATGACGCCGTCACGCGCGCCGTCGCCGCGGGCGAGCCCGAGCCGCCGATACGTGAGTATTGTACCTCACAGGGACCCAAGTTAAACTATCTAGTCCAAGATCCGACTGAGATACACACACAACAGCTTTGAACATTAACTCAGTTAACTGGCGTTCTATGATAACTTTTTTCCACTTTATCCATAATACCTACCTCTTGCAACTTACGCAAAACTTACTTATATAATAAAACCTTCCCTCGTATTCCATGTTTAGGAACACGTACGTACAAAAACAAACGAGTGGTGTATCGTTGGACACATCTTTCATATCAGCCCCTTAGGCTTGTCACTGTAATAATTTTCAACTATGACAAGCGAGCAAAGCGCTGATTTATTTTCCTTCGCAGCTGGCATCTACGAAGTACCGGACGAGTTGAAAGACAAAGTGGTGTCGGCCGTGATATCGCCGTCGTCAGTGGAGACGCGCGGCGCGGGGGGCGCGGGGGCGCGGGGCGCGGGCGCGGCGCGCGCGCTGGAGCCGGCCGCGGACACGGGGCGCGACACGGCGGCGCTCGTGCGGGAGGACGCGCACTGCTAGCGCGCCCCGCGCGGCCCGCGCCGCGCCCCCGCCCCGCGCGGCCCGCGCCGCGCCCCCGCCCTGCGACTGTGCCCCGCCCGCCTTTACTCCGACCTGTCCAGACCTTTAGTGAAATAAGTCGAGACTTTGGGTGATACCGAGCGCGAGTGGGCCCGTCCGCCTCGGTCGATGGATTAAGGGACACTAATATAAGCGGTTGCATTTTACCAACTTAAATGGTTATTGAAGAAAAGACACGAAATATTTTCCAAAAAATGTAGCTAAATTCCTTCAAATAAAAGTTAAAACTGTAAATGACATATTATGTAATAGTATATAAGTGTTTTGTATTTGTTTTCGTGTAGCGGCACTCTGGGCCGAGTCACTCGCTCGCGCTACGAGCGATGCAAGTCGCTTCTCTTTAAGTATTTTTGTCTTTCCCCAATTCTATCCGTCCTTCTAGTTTTAGCCATTAAAATAATTTATTGAAATATTCTATATATTTATATATATGTATACGTATGCCTGTTACTGTACTGTTTTCTTCTCTACAAATATATCCCAGCTAGTTCTGGTCGTACTTATGTCAGTATTTTCCTTTAAGTTGTCTGTTACTTATTTATATATTTTGTGCTAAAATATATCGTTTTAAAGCTAAATCAACCATATCATAGCGTGATACGTATGTTATTGTGTGAAGAGATTGTAAAACGTAGCGTAGGACTTGTACATTCCATTCGTTCGAGAGTAAGTCTAAAGTTTGACAGCGCGGTAGGTAACGGCTGAGCTGTTCGTGGCTCAGGGCCGACTATGACTATATTCCTAACATCTGTATAAATTATGTTCACCTAGAAATAAATAATGAATTAGTACATAAATAAGGAACTAGGAATTGTTGGTAAAGGCCGAGGGCGCCATTTTATAGGCTTTTAAATTGATTTGACAATAAGCAATACATTATATTAGAGGATAATTTATTTATTTCGGTTTAAGACTATGTAAAATAACTATGTTGTGTTTTATAATTGTCTATTAATCATTATAATATATTCGTGGGACTCTGACGATTTGCCATAACCGTGTCAAATAATGTTTCTGTTGTTCTAATGTCGAAGTGCTGCCGCCATCACTTTGTTTTCCCGGAACCGAACCTTGGTCCGCGGCACTCGCAAGCGTTGTAAATAGGTTCAAGCGATCCATTGTGATGTACATGTCATAGGCCAAATGTTATGTATATGTATATTGTATTTATTGGAGACATTATAAATATGTACCATACCTATGTAATGAATTGTGAATACCTATAAATATCACGATGTATTGTGACAAAAATCTCGAATTGATAAATTGTAAAAAGTATAGAGGTGTCAATATTACAATGTTACGTATAAGGAGAGGAAATATTTTTATATTGGGACTATTATATATATATATTAGACAGTCGTCTGAGGTTACTTGATGAAAATATTGTGTAAAAATAAATTAATAATGAAATATAACCGCTTTCAATTATTTCTCACCGAAGCACCCTGCGCCCACTGCCCAGCAGCAGCAGTACTGGCCCCACACTGCGAGGACTCAGTCGAGGAATAAATCAATAAATATGTTTCATTTAACTTTATTTTCTTCATTTTAAAAGCTGGTATAAATCGTGTTTCATTAGTGTCCTTAGGTTAGTTGAAATTATGATTTTATCGTAAAATGCGCCAGAAAAAAGTGTAAGTACCTAATTACTGTTATCGGATTTATTCGTGCCATTTATCTGCAACCTGAAATGGCAAAGGACAGGGCACATCGCTCGAAGGACAGACGGTGAGACCGAGCCAATGGGTCACAAAAGTGCTGAAGTGGCAACCACGGACCGCGTAGGCAGACTTCCAGCGACAAGGTGACCTGACATCATCGTCACAGTTGCAGGGAGCTAATGGATGCTAAATGTTGTCGTTTGACGTGGAGATGTAAGGAGGCCGCCTGTGTCCAGCGGTGGACGTCTTCCGTCTCATGATCACAATGACAAAGATAAGAGTATTTCTACTATAGATACATTTATTAGTTTCCTGGCGAGACCAGGATTCGGTAGTCACAAACGCAGAAAGAGGCGTTCAGATTGCCATACGTGGATGTTAAATCCTCACCTTGGTGAGTGTTGGGAGGCACCTGCCTCATCAGATCCTCCATATTTCTCACGTTTTACTAACGTGAGAAATATGCAATTTTTTGGCGATACGAGTGTGCAGCTAGCCAGGCGAGCCAGTGAATAACCGGTTTTACTGTGTAAAGACAAGGATCCTTGCAGGACCTTTGTGTGAGCTGCTATATTTGTTTCACATTCGAAATGAAATTGATGTTGAGTTGTACATTCCACAAGGTCCATTATTTACATATTATAATTAAATCATAGTTCATATTACCAGAGAATATGATGGGCCAACTGCTTGTATTACAGTTGCGAATATTGGGACCATGGGGTCTACAAAAGTTTAAATGAACGAAATTATGGTATACGCAAAAGTAACAAGTGTGGGACAGCCATGCTTCGGCACGAACGGGTCGGCTCGACCGGAGTGATATATATATATATATATATATATATATATGACCAGGGCCTCACAGAAACCGACGTGAAACAACCACAGTATTGTGTTTTGCCGTGTGAGTGAGGTTATCGGAGTCCCAATACTTCCCCTTCCCCAATCCCTCCCCAGTCCCTAAGTCTCCAAATCCCTAATCCCTAAAAGGTCGGCAACGCACTCGTAACTCTTTCGTTGTGGGTGTCCATGAGCGGCGCTGATTGCTTACCATCAGGTAATCCGTATATTCGTTTGGCGACCTATTACATAAAAAAACGATTATCGTAAATCGCAGGGTGAAATGGCAGTACGGCAGGTGCAGAGCATAGGTAGCTAAAGTGTAACATAGTTCGCCCACTATCAGTTAGGGTCTAACAAACTGGTTGCTGGGCGTAGAATTGAAACAATTGCATGCTATCCGGATCACTATAAGTAGACACTTGGTGCCCTAACAGGTAATTGAATTTACAATCACATCGGTAGGTTAAAGATCTTTGATTTTTTGAGTAGGTTGAAGACATCCTCTTCGCTACTACTGTGCGCCGAATGTACTGAAATATAATTTGAAATATTGACGTGCGACAAACACGTCACCGTCATCTGGAGGGGAAAAAGGAAACACTAATAAAAATATATAGATATCTATTTCAAAATAATATATGTAGGCATATACAAAAATAAGTAATAGCTCAAAAATATAGTTATACTAAAAATCATATCAGGAGAACGTTGCGGGGCGACATATCCTGTAGGCAAATCTCAATATTATAAAATCCGTGTTTAAAATGTGATTATATTTAGATTTTTGGTTAAAATTTGTTCATACAACAGTACCTAATAATATATGCTTAATACTGGCAACACTAATAGAATAATAACATACATTCGAACACATATTTAAATAATAATAAATGAACTTCACACGTGAAGCAAACCAAAGCATTAGTTAACTAACTTTGTATGAAAAATTTTGCCCCGAAATCTAATATGAATGTTCAAATGTCTTAGAACAAAGGATGTTGTCGAACTTTATGGTGTCGGTAACTAACACGGTCCGGCGACATTGTTGGTACATTTCATGACCCTGTATCACGCAAGGTGCATTATATACAAATTTTTGCCCTATTACCTTTCTAGTGCCCAGGCCTCACTACGCTAACCGTTACAAACTCCATCGATACACTGTAAAGGAGGTTGGCCATTATTGGTACTCCTTGGTGAACTTTTGATGAAAACTCTGAAAGATGTCCAGCATCTCCTGGAGGATTTTTGGTTGTGGCAGGATGGTGGTGCGGAAGTGGTACGATCCGGGACACTGGCCGAAACCGGTGCCAGGGATTACGCAGATACCTGTAATGACGCGGAAAGCAATAAGTCTAGTTATTTGTACTCAGAGTACTATACAGGTAATGTCACCGTGACATTACTTACCAGTCTCCTCCAAGAGTTTGAACGCATAGAACACGTCGGGTGCTTTCTTTTCCGCCTTAGCAGCCTCTATCGCTTTGGCCGGTAGTTCGATGCGCGGGAAAGCGTACATTGCACCCTATGGATATATGAAATAAAGAATAACTGGTATATACCGTTAGTGTGATTATTCGCTAACGCTAGCACTCCGTGTAGCCTCCGTAAGTACCTCTGTATGTTTGCTTACCTGTACTACGTTACACTTGAAGCCCTCCATTTTGTTAAAGGCTTTGACTATCATTTCGGCTCGGTCTTTCAGCGAGTTTAGAACAGCATTCTTCTCCTTGAGCCATAGTTCGTACGACGGCTCACCAGAAATAGGGGTTCTCGCCTGCCAACACCCAACTTAACATTATCTACATCGTCAATAAAATTAGTCGGCTCACCTATTGGTAAGCAGTCGGCGCCATCTAAGGTCAATCGCAGCACCAAAGGGGGACTGGGACTCCAGTAAACTCTCTCACGGCAACCCGAGCGTTGTTTCACGTCCGTATTACTGTGACAGAGTCGGCTGATTTCTACCGAAGTCAGGCTAAGGATCGTTTGGTGAAATCCTCATATAATTTTATTGGGTAAGTTTTTAATTTATCACGTTCGTATAGGCAGAACAACATAAAAGCAGACTTTTTTCACACTGTTCATTTTAAGGCCACCTAAGATGGACACTTTACTGCTAGGTACGTACGACGCAGTCGACGGCGGCCTGCCCTACAGTGGCGGGGCAGAGCATGGCGGAGAGGGTCTTGTAGAGATGTCCCTGCACGCCGGGGTCCATGTTGCACAGCTCCATCCAGCCCCCACGCAGCCCGCATTCTCCCGTGTATCCTTTACTGATTGACATGAACGATACCAGCTCCACCGTGTTGTATGGCGGACCCAATTCCGACAGCACCTGTGCATGCATATATATCAGTCATATTAAACGAAACCCTTTTATATTATTCAATTGATGTCTGCCAACTTTGAGACTGGTAAACGACAAACGTATACAACGTTTTACGTTATTTATTTTTTTATAATAAAAGTCGTCAAACTAGCGTACAGATTACCTAATGGTAAGCAATCGACGCCGCCCATGGACACCCGCAACACCAAAGGAGTTACGAGTGCGATGCCGGCCTGTTGGAGATAGGGGTTGCGGATATAAGGATCGGGAAGGGATAGGGAAGGGGAGGGGAGGGATTGGGCCTCCGGTAGCCTCACTCACACGTCGAAACACAACACTGTGGGTTGTTTCACGCCGGTATTCTGTGAGGCCGTGGTATCACTCCGGTCGTGTATACGTTTCGTCGTTTCTCTCTGCTGCCAATAAAAAGCTATGGAGTACTTTTTAAGTGAATAACACAAACCTTCTTGAAGGAGAAGAACTTGCTGTCCTTGTCGTACACATTGGCCTGGTACACTTCGTCCGCAAATATAAACAAACGTTTTTTATGCGCAAACTTTATTATGTCCTCGATGTTAGAACGTTTCAGAACCTGACAAAATACGATTTAAAGTAAGTATTACAGGTAGCATGGGTTCAATGAGGCGGGGTCTCAGGGTCGTGAAATAATAGTTCAAAAGTAGCAAAAGTATGTACGCTAATGCAAATTAAAAATAATAACATTAATTATATATTTGCTTAGGTGACTATACGCTTCAAAAAAAAAGAGTGCTCAAACCCCTTTCGCTTCATTCGTCGAGAAAATATGGATATTTTCTCCATGGCTTCATTACATATCCCGAGGAGAATTTAAAGCGCCGAATTGTCATATTAATTAATCAGTTGGCTCCGCTGTCGCTAAACCACGGGAAAAAAAGACTTTATCGCTCAGTGCAACGAACTAAAAATTTAAACTACCTTAATAACATCATGGCGTCACCGTGTCCATTCTATTTTTAAATTATAAGTGGTTGGTTCATTTACAAAAGTGGTGCATCTACCACGGTTGTAAACGTTTTGAGTTGAAATGTACTCTGTGGCTTTGAGTTCACATCTGTCATGGCGCTTCGTGATCGTGAAACTGCCACAGATTAAATAGAACGAACCTGTCCGGTGGGGTTCCCGGGGTTGATGACGACTATAGCGCGCACACAGTGTGTCTTACTGCCCTCCTCATAGGCGCGTTCCAGCTCAGACATTTCGAGCGCCCAGTTGTTGCCCTCATCCAGGTAGTAACGGATGTGACCTAGGCCGTACTCCGCGACCGTGGCCGAGTATAGGGGGTACTGAGGGACCGGCAACATAATGCCTGCAACATTATAAACGTGACCAAAAAAAAGTACAAAATGCTGGCAGCCAAAGGTGTATAGCAATACGCATCATTCAGCAATACGATCATCTTGCGAACGAACATTTCGCAAGATGTCGATTGCAAGTCGTATTGAAAGTGACTTAGGAGCTTTGTTATTTCAGGATAGAGATTCTAGATCTAAACCTACTAGTTTTAATTCCTTGTATCAATTTAATTTTTTTGACTAGACGATTAAAAACATCTTTCAATGTTAAGGCTATCAATCACTTGGTTTTATATATTTCTGCCAAAACAGATGGTTCTTGTGTTAGTGGTGCAGAACACTGGTTGCTAGTTCGTAGTCACAATGCTTTTCCCATTGACGGAGCGTAGTATCTTGCCCGATTGAAGGCTGTAGCTAAGTATGTAAGTGATATGGTAACTGGTGAAATATAGGTACTTCATGGGCACCTCCTCTATGCTATTGGGCGGTCTCAATGCATACAGACACTATGCTTTCTGTATTTAGTCGTATCGTGCAAAACGTGTTTCTATTTTACGTTTTACGCCAAGATTTTTCTTATGTAAGTATGTTTGTACTGTACTGACCGGAGGGCTTGCCGTCGACCTTGTTGCAAAATAGTTCCAGGCAGGTCTTGATGCCCGTGGTAGCGCCCGCAGTGAGGCTGATGTCCTGCCATCTCGCCTTGTGCCCGTCACGGCACTCGATATACTCCGCCACGTGGCGCCGTATCATCTCTATGCCTAACGACATAGTATACGCGCCCACTGAGTTGCCACTACAAAATTTTAATGAAACTTTAATAAACAAACGTAAAGGAATAGCAAATATGATAGAATTAATAGTAGTTAGCAATTACAAGTTCAATAAATTAAGACGTGCCTACAAAAATTACAATATCGAACAAGGGCTGATAAACAGACTAGGCGCCTAGATACATTTTAAAAAGGCGAGAGGCCTTTTGGTATATAACTGGGTACCAATTTGGGGAATAGAACGCTCAGTTAAGTCCCTTTGAACAAAAAATGAGTGAGAAAATGAGTATCATGTCTTATATATCAGTCATGGCTGGCGGTCTACTGCTCAATAGCTAAAGAAAGAAAGAAAGAAACATTTATTCACATAGAACACAGGTAAACGTTGGGATCTTCTAACCGCGAGCAGACTTCACGTGATGTGATGTAGGATTTGTGACCTCATCCGTTAAATATTGTCGTCGTCGTGTGCATCGCTACACCACCATAAGATTCTGACTTGGTGACAATGGGATATACACCACATTGAAAGTTAACTTAGTTAAGCTTATCAAATAATCATCAAAATTGGTTCATAAATGACCAAGTTATACGCAAACAAACAAAATTATAAAATATACATGAAAGGAGAAATTGGAAAGTCGTGCGAATTCACAAACCTCATCCTTTTTTGAAAGTCGGTTAAAAGGGAATTGCTTCGTACGACACACCTTTTTACCGAAGAATTATAATTAATTTGGGAATTGAGCAACTTGTTAGGGAGATAATTTTACTATCACAAAAACCATAACTAGTTAATTTTTGGAAGAAATTTCATAAGTCAGAGGTTCGGATATAAACGAAGTGTTTATAAAAATCTATAGATACTGCTTAAATTCCTAGGCTTCGACTTAGACCGAACGCGAGAGAATCGCCGTCTTCGGTCGCTTGACTGAGGACGCGATAATCCGCTTAGCCCAGGCAGAACACATCGCCACAGTATCCGGAACGCGGCCCAGGACGTTTCTTCCCACTGGATCTGAAACAAATTCCTCCCGAAACCAGAAAATCGTCAACTGCGGTACAAAACTCACCTGCAATTGTCTAGTATATCTTGTGCTCTCTTTTTCACGTCCGGCGGGTACATGTCAGACTTTAGTAGCTTGGGATAAGTTATGCAGGAAACCACCTAGGAATAAACATTTTTGTGTTTTGAAAACCTTTATTTTGAAAAATATATATTACCGTACTTGTTGTTCTCAGCAAAGCGCTGCCCTTCGGGGTTAACTGGTGACTAAGCAATGTGGGGCGTTCGGGATTCAAATAAGAGTGACGTTGCTCTAACTTAAACCTTGAATCAAGTGGGCCTTACTACAATAAGTTACTCTATTAATACGGTGAGCTGATACACACACGACGCGTGCTAGGATCTTGTTGATGTTGTTCATTTTATGTAGAACGTACCTATTAGTTCGAGCTGATTGTAAGTGTCGTAGGTACCTGTCGAATGAAAGTGAGAGGTCGCTGATACATGGCTTGCGCATCTCCCACGTTTGCAAGGATGACTCGCTTGAAAGGCTTTTTTGCTCCCTGTCAACAAACAGCAAAAACTTAGTACTTATGACAGACGACAGTATGCACCGTTAATATAAGCGGATTAGCTGACTTAGTTAAGCAGCTTCTTCATTTCAGAAGAGATCATAGAGAAGTTGTACTGAAGCGCAAAAAATAACAGATAGATACTTACATTAGAAAAACCATCTTTTAAGGAAAAAAATACGAATTTTAATTACTGTTTGGCTACTGTACTACTATTTATTATTTATCTTTGCTGATAATATAAGGAACACGGTATATCTGCTTCGTGATTGTTATATAATATTTCAATACAAGTTTCTTACCTTTTCCAGCTCCTTTTTAATAGCACCGGCTCGGATAACCAGAGGTCCTCGCACGGCGTACTGCAGCTTTATGATTTTCGGGTTCAAATTTTCTACAATAAGCGCCCTATTTTCCGACATGTTTCTGTTTGTTACTATGAAGAATAGCCGCGAGGCCAGGATCTCCTTCTGAGGATTCATCAGCACCACCCTGCCATACAACAACCATTAACTGCAGTTCACACCGAGTGCAATATCACACTAAGACTATACATAAAAATCTAAAATTACTTACTAATTTAGATTACTTTTAAAATGATAAAAACCTACAAAATATAGAAAACATAATATGTAAAAATGTGAAATGTTGATGGAAACAAAAGCAACAGTCACTTCCCCTGTACCAAAGAGTATAATAAGTTTAGTGAAAAAGAGTTCTCTCTGTAAAGTTTATACCAATCAATTTGAACCGCCATCTTAGATTTTTACATCAAAATATAAGTCCGTTAAAATCCTATGTCCTCAAGATGGGGCAAAGGGCGTCTACGAAGGTCTGCCATCTCGATCTGTCTTGAGCATCACGCTTCTCTCCGCTCTCCGCACTTGCGGCGTTTTATCTGACAGTCGATCGGGCTTTCGCGGTATTTTTCCAACAGCTCTGCGTTGAAGATAGTCTCGGGCAAGTAAATACCGAGAAGCAGCGCGACAGTCGCCTCGTCGCGTGGCGTGGAATGCTGCTCATGAATATGGGCCTTAGGCACGGCTTGAAATTAGTTTTTTTTTATCAATCATACAATCCCCATTCCTATCTCGCGGCGCAGACTGTCTATGATACGAAGCATAAGAACATCAAGAAGAAGCGGCAACAGGAGGCAGCCTTGGGGACACCTGCCGTACAGGCAGCTGTATCCTCCGAAATGAGACCGTCGCGAGTACCCTACACGAATACTTCCTATAAATGCTCTCCAACAATCGGATAATCTTCAACAGCACTCCAATGTCGAATAGACGAGGCCTGATACTAGACCACTTTAACGTATCAAAGGCTTTTTCGAAATCAACAATGTAAGGTAGATCTCCTTCTGCCAATCTGGTGCCTGCTCCAGTATGATACGAAGAGTATTGATATTGAATGAAGAGGTTCTACCAGAAACCAGCCTGCCCCTTGCGGAGGAGAAGATCCACGGTCTTCGTCAGTCTGTCGAGAATAATCCTGCAAAAGACCTTAGCAGGAATCGAGTAATATTATACCTCTCTAGTTGTCACACATACTACGATCTCCTTTCTTTGGGACGCTCCAGATTTTATCAATGAGAGGCGTCAGAACGTCTACGCCGGAGGTCGATTCGGCTTGCAGCGTTTCCGCAATGATCAAGTCGAGTCCTGGTGCTTTACCTGTCTTTAGAGAGAGGACTGCTTCAGCCAATTCTCTGCAAACCCTTTAAGATATAACAAAATTATATATTTTGTAATAGAAGAAAATAATATAGAACTTACTTTGAAAGCTATTTACACAAATACAATATTAAGCCTTACCATTTTAAATAGGTTGGTTAGCAATAGCATTTCATGAAGATTATTTTTCCCTTTACACCATGCAAAATAAATAAATGTGGTGGCGTATTGACTATGGCCTTTTTTCATATTCATATTCATATTTATTTATTTGCATACCATAATGTTATGAAAAAAAAAAGATGTAAAGGGCTTAGATCTAGGTACATATATTATGGACCCTGATAGGGCACAGCAGAAGAAGTAGTAAGTTTAATAAATTACATGATAATTAGGTACAATGGTAGGTATTTATATTTAATTATTTATATATTAATTGTATAATGTATAAAGTTATTTTTATGTAATAGATCATCAAACGAGCAGACGGATTACCTGATAGTAAGCAATTATCGCCGCCCTTGGACACCCGCATCCCTAAGGAGGAGTTACGAGTGCATTGCCGACCTTTTAGGGATTAGGGATTTGGAGATTTAGGGATTGAGGAGAGTTTGAGCCTCCGGTAACATCACACACACGGCGAAACACAACGCTGTGGTTGTTCACGCCGGTTTTCTGTGAGGCCGTGGTATCACTCCGGTTGAGCCGACCCATTCGTGCCGAAGCATGGCTCTCACACACTTAAACACGTATGTTTCTTGTACGACTGTAATGTTAAAAGTCGTGTTTCCAAACTTTATAAGATTCAAAATCAAACATTGAGGATGTGGCTTTATAAACAACACTCCCATTCTGTTATGAGTATGCATGTGGAACCACACCACATAACACAGAGGTGAAGGTGCAATGGACTCCAGCACACGTGGGTTTAAGAGGGAAAGAGGAAGGATTTGCTGGAAACTTATTGTACAACTGATTTTACCTAAATTAAAAACTCATGTTTCGATATTTGGCTAAATCATTTTACAGCGACATCAAAAGAAAAAGACAAGTCCTTTGAAAGTGAGCTTCCTCTGGCTCCGTAGTTTGAGAATAGTAAGTTTGTTATCCGGACACAACCCATCAGCAAGATTTGTTATTTTAATGAAAAAAGCTAAGTCGCCTGTTTTCGGTTTATAAATAAAGCACCCATTGTACTGTGCAATGTTGTAGATGTACAACATTTGCTGATGGATGTGTCAGGCATCAAAGTCAACGGAACGTCCTGATCAATGAATTCCAGCTTAATATACAAGAAGTAGGGTTGATACAATCTATTCTGGACCCGCCAAAGTACAAGTTAGCAAGATGATTGTGTCAGTTAATGTATTTCGTTGTAGAGGACTTGGTTAATAAGAACTTCAAATTTTTTTTAATATATTTTATGTTTGTAGGTAGGTACGATGGGTTTGGAGTATCCTCATAAATAAGACCCAATGTTAATTATTTGTCGATGATAAATATGTATAGCATAAAAAAATTAAAGTCGAGTAAAAACTTTTTCATAATTATTAAAAGAAATATAACTGGCAGCATAAAAGTATAGGATAAACTTCAAACTATTAGAAAGCATCAAAATATAATTTACAAACAATTATCAGAAAACCAAAAACATTTTTTGTAAACTTTTATTTTTGTTAGAAAATGTATAAAGTTATTTTCTGCTGATTCTTATACACAATTTAAACAAAAAATAATAAAGGGCACATGATGTTGCGTACAAGTATTGTTCCAAGAATCAAAATAGTATACAATGACGCCGCCTTTGTGTCTACGTTACGCGGCACACAGTGGATTACTGCGGGCAAAATCAAAATACGTATGTATAAAACTATAATAATATCACTTACTAAACTTGCTTTAATTTCTCTTAATGTATGTGAATGTAATATTTTGACAATGTTGATATTGAACAAACTTTCCTTTACACATTTATGTGAGCTTCGCCCGTAGTCATCATCTTCCTGCCCTTGTCCCGTTTTATTTGGGGTCGGCGCAATATGTGTTTTTCTGCCTTTCTGTCCTGTCACCCATCACTCTATGACTAACTCCTCTATCTTCCATATCACTTCTTACACAATCGATCCATATTTTCGTTGATCTCCCTCTCCCTCTCAATCCATCCATATTTTCCATTATTTAAGCTTCCACCCTTAGTCAAAAAAACTAAATCGAAATAAGTATATAAATAAAATTAGCTACCTATACCTCATTTTAATGGTTAGATCCCATTGGGTTAAAATAAACCTAAACCCTATTACTAAAGTCTCCGCTGTCTGTCCGTCCATAGGTACGCATCTAACTAATAGGTACCTAAGTATTATAAAAACTTCAAAGTCTATGTTTAATTACATTTTATGTAATAAGATATTATTGCACCTCTCTTATTGTATTTATATTTAGTTTGAATGGATAGATTCACGCGTCTGCCCGTATTCGGGTCGTGCACTCAGCGATGACCGACTCCCGCTCGCGCAGGTCTGCCTAATCTATATAGAGCTAAACAAAATTAATTTTGCTGCACGTTATTTTGATTTGAGTTGTTCCTTGTTCGGTCCAACCTATTAATCGGGATAATCTATTTGTTATTCTAGGGCAACCAGGCCTAACATTTTCAGTGAAAAAATAAAAAACGTACATCCATACATTCTCACAAACATTGACATTTCGGGTTTTTCTCTGTCTTTCAGTGTCATGTGCTGCAGTAAGGAAATCTCTGAAAAGTACAAAAGCGCCCACGATTGACGTAAGTGAAACTAAAGAAGACAACTATGAACTTCCAGTAATAAATAAATGCAGCAGTAAATTTCCTTGGTTGGAACGGAAGACCAGCGGTTCCATAATAAAAAAAATATACTCGCCTACCGCTGATATGGATCTAATTTTCGATGACTATTTTCATCCACACATTCAGCATAATTCCTTTGTTAATACCACAACTGCGAAAGAGGAAAAGGAACAACTAGCACAGAAAGTAGAACATGTACAGGAGACTCCGTTAGTTGAAGCTCAAACACAACCTATTGAAGGATTTAATATAACTCCAAGGGTTTTGGGCAAATTAGAGCAAGCCTACAGTTGGATTAAGGGTAACCACATAGCTGGCATGTCTGGTGAAAAATCCGGTGATGTGGACCCGAACATGGATAGTTCATTTGGTCAGCTTGATGAAACACTCCTCAATGAATTGGAAAAGCTTGGGGTTCCCTTAACTTGTGATAATGAACAAACACGCTCAGATGACAGTCGAATCTAGATGAACAGTCCAACTAGCAAAAATTGGCTTTTGACACTTGTATTCTAATACGATTGCGAATATAAATTTATAAGTCAAGTCTATCTGACCGCTGAAATGCCATTAATTCCTTTATCGCTTCTCTCGCTGCTGAATAAAGTTAGTATATAACGTAGATATGATAAAAAAAAACAAATTAATATACGGGCAGAAATGGTCCATACATATAAATACATAGTGGTATCCTGTTAAAAAAGCAATATTTATAATCATCATACAAATGATTAGTTTTTATTGCCTGTTTTATTCTGCGTGCCACATAAGTTTATCTCGATAAACTTCTGTGGCACGTCATCATCATCATCATCAGCGAAGACGTGTGGCAGAGCCAAACTTCGGCACGAATGGGTCGACTCGACCAGAGTGATACCACGGCCTCACAGAATACCGGCGTGAAACAACCCAACAGTGTTGTATTTCGCCGTGTGAGGGAGGTTACCGGAGGCCCAATCACTTCCCGATCCTTATTTCCGCAACCCCTATCCCCAAAAGACCGGCAACGCACTCGTAACTCCTTTGGTGTTACGGGTGTCCATGCGCGGCGCCGATTGCTTACCATCAGGTAGGTAATCCGTCTGCTCGTTTGCCGACTTATACCATAAAAAAAGACGTTTATCTGATAAGCAGGTGGTACCCAGACATTGTGATAAAAAGATTTGTTGTGAATCATTTTATTAAAGAACTGTTTTGCTGTTTCGGCAGTGGAGAACAAGTGAACAACAACAACACATGACATTAGGAAATTGTGACTTGAACAGATGCATCAGTGAATAGCGAAAATAAATTAAATTATTTCTAATCGTGTTTTTTTGTACTGAGCTGTTTAAGCACAGAAATATATTTCTTATATCTATGTGTTTAAGCATACATATAACACCCAATGGTAAGATGATACGATGATAAGTAATCGCTGCCGCCTATGGATTCCCGCAACACCAGGGGTCACCAGGGCGTTGCCGATCTTTGGTGGGATGTGTAAAGCTGGGTATCCATTTACGGCGACAATACTTAGAACTACTAATGCCCGTTTTCACCCACATTCCCTAAAATTTAATTGTGACTTTTATAAAACAAAAAAACTTTTATTGACAGGCAACATTTGCCCAGTGCCCACTTTGTGCGAGTGCGTAAATTATCTTAAAACTATGTTATGAACGAAGTTCGACTTGGGAGAGGGTGGATATTTAAAAACAATTAACTTATCAAGCGCTTTTAATTAAGTTATTTACAATGCTTGCTGCATACACCAAAAAATTATATTCCTCCACACCGATACCGGTAACGAAACCATAGCGCGCTCGATCCCAACGCCATCTATCGAGTTAACGTACAACATTAACAAAAATTTAATTATTTCGCGCTATGATTCCGTCGACCTTTAGTTACGTAGACAAGTATAATAAACCAAAACAAAAATATGTTAGCCATAGGTAGCTCCATCAAGCCCCATGTAGGACAATTAGATTGATAAATCTACATCATCAACTGTATTCTGAGGCAGCAAACATGTCCGCTTTCACCAAGATCCCTTAAGTCACCACACAAAGTAAGGTCCTCTATACTAAATTAATCGATTAGACAATTTTATTGAGATTTGCGTACATATACAATTTCAGAACAAGTAATACACGTTTCTGACTTCTATATTTTTTGAAAAACAAGTGTCTTCAAGATTCATAACAAAATTTTTTGATTTTTTTACTGTATGGCTAAGAACTCACGGAGCGATTTTCGCCCGCGTCCGCTGCGGTTGCGGGCCCGCAGCTTCTGTAGAATTCAAATATTTATATAAAAAATTAAAGCACATTTCACGACGCGTTTTACGCCCGCGGTGTACGCGGTTGTATGCGGCTCCCGCTGTGCCGGCGGGCAACTAGTAGAATCGCGCGGGCCGCGGTTACCCGCAGCCTCGGCGGGTGGCACCCGCGCGCTTTGCGATCGGTTGGCGAGCGACCGCGGGGGCCGGCGGGTCTTCTGTGAAGTAAATATAACGCAACGGCTCGTTTCTGGTGTGTGTTCATGGCGGTCTGGACCTCAACTGATCGTTAACCGCCCGTCTTGCAATCTTGCGATCATCGCCCGCCACGTTTGCGGGCGATCATCGCAACCGCGGCGGCTGTGTAACCGCGCAAATAACCGGTCTCGTGAGTTTGGAAATAAAACCGCAGTTCCGCTACCGCGGCGGGCACGGTTCAAAATCGCTCCGTGAGTTCTTAGCCTAAGTCGTTTAAAAAGTCGTGGTGCCGGTGACATTTTGATGTCACCGTCCACGTGACAGTTTCATTTCAATACATAGAGGTCAGAGAGAAGAGGAGAACGATCGCTACGTACTAAAACATTATCTATTTATTAATTTATGTACACCATCAAAATACACAAAGAAAAATTGAGATTCAATGTTCAATGGGCGGTCTTATCGTTAAATGCGATTCCTTACAGACAACCTTCGGATGGAGTCAGCGATTAGGATTCGGGAAATAGGGTGTGTTTAAAAAAAAATTGCTGTTGCTATCCGTTTTTAATATATTTTATCTTGTTCAATAGGAGATTTAGAAATTTATATGGCTAAATACTATGGCATGGGCCATATTGGTCATGGGACCAATATTGATTGATACATACGTAAACTTATTATTAATATCACCGACAAAATGTGTTTCCGTAGTTTTCCGGTCTATGTCCGGAAAACGTCGATAGTCGTTACGCGCGTTTTTTAAAATATGCAAAAAAAAAATATTTTTCAACCTTTTTCAGAGATTTTGCTAATTTTTTTTTCTAAATTAATTATTATGTTTTCGGCTCACTCGCGTAATAATTTGACGAGATACTCGACTACCTAGTGTCAAGCCATGCTGTGGCCCATATTCATGAGCAGCATTCAGCGACACGCAACGCGGCGCCTGCAGGTCGACACCATTCGACACTGTTGACACGCTAGACTCGCCCGCCTGCAGCTGCGTTGGTGTTGGGTTCGAATCCCGGATCGCAAAAAAAGTGTTACCACGCTAACTGTGTCACACTCCAGACCCGCAACAGTGCAGTCTGACGCAGATTTCAGACTCGGCTTCCAGGCAGGTGGTAATGCCCAGCCACCGTCTCTGTTGAAGTTCGGACGCCGGCTTATTTCGATGGCCTCACATACTTTCCACGGTACGAAGTATTTTTCCCTCGCTAGTACTGAGACCTTGTCGACACGGAGGAAGTGAGCCGTGCCCGTACTACAAGCATGCTCAGCTACCGCCGATGTATGGGTGTCACGGTTTTTCACACTGCGTATGGTCCTTTAAGTCTGGTTGCGATGTTGCGGCAACTTTCCCCGATATAACTCGAGCCACAGTCGCACGGTATCATGTACCTATATACTCCGGGAACTGCCAGCGGATCCTTGTCCTTAGGCGAGCGCAGAAGATGTCGTAACTCTGACCGGGTGGGCGGAAGATCGTCCTGATGTTGTATCTCCGGCGTAACAGGTGTCCGATGGTGTCGGTTACTCCTTTCACATAGGGTAAAAATGCTGGAGTCCGTTCCGCAACTTGCGGTCGTCTTTTACTTGACGAGCTCGCCATTCGAGTACATTGACGCCAGTTTTACCCATTATTTTCCAGTACCTGTCTCAGGTGGTCGAATTCCGCGTAAATGTACTGGAGATCACACGGGTTCAGAGTCCGGTTGATTAACGTCCTGAGAACGGACGCAAGGTGGGAGGGATGGTGATGCGACCGGTCCATGTGTGTCGGTTTACGGTAAACCGTGTGCGACAACCGGCCGTCTGTTCCACGACTTATGAGGACGTCTAAAAACGGCAACATTCCATCTTTTTCCTTCTCAGTGGTGAACTGTATGCTACTGTGCACTGAGTTTAGGTGTGCTATGAATTCCTCTACATGTTCCCGGTTGATGACTGCGAACACGTCATCAACATATCTCCCCCAGAATCGCGGTCGTACCGGGGCAGACGTTAAAGCTTAACCCTCCAACCACTCCATGTATATATTAGCAACCACTGGCGCTAACGGTGAACCCATGGCGACTCCGTTCACTTGCTGGTAAAAATCACCTCTCCACAAGACCTGTTGTTAGGCAATGGCTTACACCGTCAATGTATCCAGTAGGTAAATCTGTACCGTTCAATAAGGTGGTGATGATATGTATAGCCTCATCTACTGGAACATTTGTGTACAGTGATGTGATGTCGAAGCTCATCATAATATCTGTTTCTTGGAGCCGGATATCCCTTAATAGGGTGATTAGGTGTCGGAAATCTTTCACGTAAGAGTCCGTTTTACCTGTGAAAGGTTGAAGTATAGTTGCCAGATGCCGCGACAGTTTATACGTTGGTGCATCAATCTGGCTAACTATGGGTCTCAAGGGCCAGTTAGGCTTGTGAATTTTGGGCAAAAGGGACAAGGACCTACCAACGTCTGCTACCAAAATACATGCGCTCCTTAGGTGACGAGATGGTGAACAATAACACGCATCTAGCATGGCTTGAAACTAGTCGAGTATCTCGTCAAATTATTACGTGAGTAAGCCGAAAACATAATTATTAATTTAGAATGAAAGTTATCGTAAAAATATATTTTCTGTAAGAATCTTTCACAGAGTATCAGAAAAGTAAAAAATCGCCAACTTGGTCTACCCGCATGACAACGGGAAAAGGGTTTAATGGCATATGGAAAATTTAGGTAACACTCAAAATAAATTGTGAAGCTAAACAGGATTATAAAGCCCTGTAATGTAATCATTGTCTAATTAAATACAACTAGTGCTTAGGCTGAAAATGTTAGAAGTGGTCGAGTCGAATGGGTGAATCGGGCGACATCAGTTGCGATCACCTAAATAAGCCGAGTGACGACGACGTGAGAATAATGATTCTGTTTGAGAACTGAAGCTGAAATATTTTGCGAATTAAGGTATTTGTGAGGAACTTCTCACAAATACCTAATGAAAACAATCACATGAATGCAGCTCCTTGTGCAGACACTCATTTCTGGCTCGTGTTATTGTTCACCATCTCATCACCTAAGGAGCGCATGTATCTTGGTAGCAGACGTACGTCCTTGACCGATGTTTTACTGTCGTCAGCGAAAGAGTAGGTTTTCTCACGGTCATAGGCTTCGCTTTAACTGTAGGTCCATAGTTGTGCCAACTAGATAGAAGTGGTCTATATATAATATGTTACATATAGTATCATAAGGAATCGCGTAGTTCTTGTTGATTCCCAGAGGCTTTTGGTCTATCTACATTTTCAGCATAAATGCCGTCTAAAGCATTTCAAATGAAATCAAAAAGAATTTTTTTTTTCCCGTTCCGTTTTCATGTCATTTTTCTTTTTTTTATTATTTGCGCACCTGGTGATACGCAGCGTCGCCCATGGACAACCGCAACAACAGAGGAGTTACGTGTGCTTTTTGCATACCATCTTTTGGGGGATTAGGGATTTGGAAATTTAGTTTAAGGAGGGATTGGGGTAGGGGCAGGATTGGCTCTCCACCTCCACCACTCAGACGGCGAAACATAACGCTGTGATTGTTTCCAGCCGGTTTCCTATGAGGCCGCGGTATCCCTCAGACCGAGCCCACCCATCCGTGTTGAAGCAAGGCTCTCCAATACTAAAAGATTTTATATTGTTCTTATAATGGAGACGATGGTCCGAAAATTCAGAATGAAGAAGAATTCAGAATTGTTGCAGAATTCGACATTTTCGTTTCATTTTTCTTTTTGTTTGTTGTTGCAGCTTTGATACATTTTTCAATTTGCTGTACTTTTTACCCATAATGCCCTGGTTCCTACTCTGTATTCATATAAACTCATATTTCGTACATAGTGATGAAGAGTATTGGCCCTATTATTTCACGAGGTGCGTGTGAGCTTCTGCTGTTAATGAGGGTTCAGAAATACTTCTATTTTGTATTTCTTCTGGTTTCTGTGTTTTCTGCGTTCGTTGATTATGAATTCTACTCTATTAGGAAGGTTTATTCATTCCTTTGGAATTTCGATGATGTTTGTTGTGTAATGCTGACGTATCAGTCTGTACAAAACACCTATATCCTGGTTTTGCAAAAAAGTTCCATGATTTAGTTACATGCGGTTCTTCTGGCTTTGATGCTGGGGAAGTCTGTCCCGCTTCTGATGTGCTTTTTGGTGACAATTCCGTTACGAATGTAGTTGTAATTTCTTTAATAATTGGAGGAATTTGTGCAGAATTAACTTGTAAATCCTGTTTTGTCTGCGGATTATCTATTTCTCGTTCCTTTACTTCTTGAGACTTCGCTTCTAGGGTATCAACGTTAGGTCTTAATTTTGTAATTAATGTTCCACGGTCGTAATGTTTATCTATATATATATGACTTGGATACATAGTCAAACTGTCCCCTCCCTTATCGCTATCAGTTAATTTTACGGCTAGTTCTTCAGCCTCAGCGTCTTTGCCGGGAAGTAACTTCTCTGTAATCCTTGGTGGTACTGGACATATTTTATCTGAATAAATGGCAACAGTCTCATTTTCCTCAAATTGGTCTAGCTTTGTGTAGCTACGTAATATATTCATCTGGACTCGATCGTCTTCTATAAGTGGAAAGGATATTTGCGCATTTTGACAGGTTATGGAAATTCCAATCTTTTCTAATTCATTTAGGAGAGGTTCATCGAGTTGACGAAATGGGTGAACCAGATATTTCACAATTTCGTCCGAGCTCGAGTACCCACTACTGGATTTTCTACGAGACATGCCATCTAAATGCTTGCACTTAATGCGACCATAGTCTGATTCCAATTCTCCCAAAAGCCTTGGAGTTACGTTACTTTGTTTTTGAGGGGCAACTAATGGTGTTTCCTGTATATGCTCCACGTTTTGTGTTAGTTGTTCCTGTTTCTCTTTAGCAGTTGAGGGCACAAAAGCATTATGGCGGAGGTGTGGATGCAAATGGTTAGTAAAAACTTGGCTATCCATCTCAGCAGTATTAGGCAAGCTAGGTTTTTTCAATATGGAATGGTTGGTCTTGCTTTCCAAGACCGGAATTTTACTAGTGCGTTCATTTATGACATACGGTTCACCTAGTTTATTTCTAGTTTCATGTATGTCAATAGTATGAGCTACATTTTCTTTTAGTTGTTCGTAGGTTTCGTGCAACATTTTGTTATAATGTTCATGGCTCTCTACATATTTATCTGTGTCTTCGTTGGTGATAGTTTCTTCTAGAGACAAATTCTCATAGATCTGTTCTTTATTATTTGCTGTTTCCGTTATTAAGTCGTCGGGAAATGTAGCAGACATCAAGTGTACGTTTAGTGTCGGCTTTATAAGAATTAAATCTTCGCCGGTGTCTGTATCAAGGCATTTCGGTTCCACTCTTACCATAGACTCCTTTGCCCACAGTTCTTCAGGTTCATCCTCCAATTCTGGTACCGTTTTAAAGACGACAAAATGTGTTCTGTCATCTGTTATCATGTTCTCTGCCAACTTTTGCCTTTCCGACTTGTCTATCTCTAGTCTTGTTTGTTCTATATTAAGGCCATGGGAAAAGTACTGTTCTGCTAATTCAGGTTCCTTCGTTCGTTTTTTCCGTAAAGTTTGCTTTATAATTCTTTGGCATTTTTCGAATTGCGTTTCTTTTACTTTTTGTGTATATGCTAATGGTTTAATATATTCTTTAGTATTACGTACTTCGGTATTTTTTTCTAGTAAGGGTTTGCTCTCGGTCTTTTGAAGCGCTCCCTGGTTACCTGTAGCTTTTGAATATTTCGGTGATTTCCTTATAGCAGCACATGGCACTGAAAATAGAGGAAGAAAGCCGTGAGATTGCTTATTACTCGTTTTTTTTTTAATAAACTCTGGTTTGCAAAAATAAATTAAATGGTTTTCTAATTTTATTAGAATTTAAATTAAATTACTTATTAAATAATATATTTTGCATATTTAGGTAGGTACGTTTAATTTTATCTGAATATTCTAAGAAAATTTCGATAAAACTCGGAGCCATTCAGAGGCTGAATCTTTCAGTAAAGTCCAGGTAAATAAAAAATAATGTGGAAGAACTTGCGGTGTCTTGCGTGGTCTATTGAGGAAAAGAACCACAACTTTGAGTGGACCTATCCTTTCGGCAGACACGCGGTTTTCAGTTCACATCCATCACACACTATCTAACCTAATTAGTGTTACTGAATAATTAGTAAACAAAACGTTATTTAGTTATTATGTACATTTAACGGAATTCGTAGTTCACCTTAAAAGTTAACCGTATAATATATTATTATATGACAGAGTGTACTCGTAATGTTTCATGGAGAAGTTATTTTTAATATTAATATTAAATATACATAATAAACGTGACTTTCGTGCGCCAAATCGCCTTGCCGGATTTGTTCAGCCTATTTAGTCCACCACGCGCGGCACATAGAAATATAAACTAGTGTAAGTTTGTTACATACATATTTCAAATTGGCCTGCAGTAATCCATTGTTCGCCACGAAAGATACGTGGCACATAGGCGGCGTCAATGCATACTATTTTGAATCTTGGTAAACAACATGTACGCAACATCCTGTGCAGTTATATTCACTCAAATTTTGTATGAAAATCAGTGAAGAAAGAAAAAAGAATTAATAAATCACTACATTTTTTGTATTCTTATATGACCCAAATGACAGAATGCTGTACTGATGGATGCTATAGTTCAGATTAAGATTTTTATCCTCTAATTTTATGCTGCCAATGATCGAAAAAGTTGTTATACCAATTTTAAGAAATGGTAAAATTGTGCTCAAAAAGTTTTATCTAGAAACAAAGCCCTTTCGCATGAACCTGACTCATCTTGACTACAAAATCTTTAGCTTCATGTCCATCGCCACTTTGAATTTTGTATGGGAGAAGAGTAAGTACCAGAATTGGCTTGAAAGGTCTGACTCAACTTTTAATGTGGCGTTATACTATATACCTAGTTTATAGTTACTACACACTACACTATAGGTATAGTTTTTACATATATACCAAAAATCTGCAGTCACTATTCCACGCGAACGGAGTCGCGGGTAAAGTAGGTAGTATTTTATAAGTCATCGATATCTTTGGTACCTTTTTTTTGTCAGGGAAAAATCATCCAATGACTTCTCCCGCCCAGGCTAAGGCGAGAGACAGTGTCAGACTCTTACTGACTAAAAACCAGAGATGACTCACTAACATGACACGTAGACCAGCACCGCCCAACTCGACCATATAATAGGGAATCGAGCGATCCAGTGCCCGTGCCACCGCCACTGAGACCTCTGAGTGAGCATGACAACTCCTAGCTGAGACAAGTAAGTACCCATATTCTACAAGTCTAACTTAATTATTATAGGTTACTACTGATAAACTTTGAAGTTTATCAACAATTAACAACATGGTGTACAATACACCATTGTTGATGAACTTCGAAGTGTTAATGATTGAAATAAAAAATTCCCATTAACATCCTGTGGAGTAGGACCAGCTAGCTTCCAAGCATTTTTATCTTGTATATAATAATAATATCATTAAGTTTGCAGTATGTATGCTAGTCTACATAAATTTTTCTCTATACATAAGTTAAATTTGCTTTCATTTAGATTTTGAATTTCAACTAGGATCTTGTTATTACAGTAAACACAGAATCCCAGGATGACTACTTATGATGATGATGATACTTATGATGATGATGACTTATGCACTTTTGCCAATCTAAATAAAGGCTGACTTAATCTATTCCTATGTCTAGTATGATAATCATGTCTGTCAGATACCTTTACAAATAACTGTAGGTTTTTCCTAACATACATAATGTTTTCATAAATAAATTGACTCGGTGATCAACATTATGACCGTATGTCATAATGTTGATCTCCCTAAACTTTTATCTGAGGGATTCGCGACGACCTAATAAAGTTATAGATAGTTCTGACGGCACGATTTGCTAGATAAAGATAGACTCAACGTCGGATGCCTGTCTCCACAACAGAATTACAAGCACAACAACATGATGCTGTGAAAGTAGCTAGTCTTGTCGTGCCTACGACGGTTAGCCGACGGATTTCCTAGAGACCCGATGTGGGGCCCCTATTGAAACTTGTCGTCTACAGTAATCCCCAGGAAAGTATGTAGTCTCTTTTACAAATTCTAGTTTCTGATCATTTAATAATATATCATCACATACGTTACTGTTAACATCAGGTACAATAAATCTACTAATGCGTTTTGTCTTTTTTTTCGTTTAGTAATAAGTTGTTTATTGTATACCATTTTTTAACCTTCATTAAGGCATTATTAACTTCGTCACATTTGTTTGTTTGTCTATTTATTTTAAAAATCAGTGAAGTGTCATCAGCTAATAATACCGTATGCGGTTCCTTCATTTTGGAACAAATAGGGCAGGTCATTCACATATACTAAAAATACACAAGGGCCTAATATTCAGCCCTGCGGTACGCCCATAGATATGCTAGCAGCCCATGAGTTTACTTTGTTGACTTGTACTTTAATTTGTCTTTATTGAAGGTATGTCTTCAATAAATCTAGAGCTACTCTCCGAATGCCGTAGTGTTCTAGCTTCAGTAACAGCGCCTCGTGCTCAACACAGTGAAATGCCTTCGAAAGCCTGATTCCTCACTCTATCACCTGATTTAAATAATGGAATTCAATTTTTACAACAAAATCTTTTTTATCTTATTTTAAAGAAAAAACAGATTTATTTACCATAAGACTGTACATTTTTTAACGAACTCTTTTACTTGCATTATATTTTTATGTTTTTAAAAATACAACAAGAATTAAAACACTCACAGAACTTTTTCTCTTAGCAGATCGACGCAAGATAAAGGCGGCATAAAATATTATAGGGTGCCAATGACGCTCTAGGTGCATCAAGTATGTAGGCCCATGACGCGGGTAAAACTTTCCACCTATGGACCGTCGATTTATGGGTCGAGAAGGGGGGATGGGTGAGAGGGGGAATACACCCCAGGCCCATCCCCACTCCGCGGAGTCCTATGGTTATGGAGATACGGGAGATATCCATGGTTAAAGTTTGTTAAATTTTTAAGGTTAGGAAAGATTTTTCGCAAAGTTTGGGTATAACTTTAGAATCGTGCCGCAGGAGGGGGATTCAGCCTTCCCCAAGTACCGCTCCCATGACAAGGCAACTCACCGTTGCTGAGAAAAACGATTTTTTATAACCAACCTCAAAACACAAAAAAGTCACTTAATAGGCAAAGTCGACGGCGGGGCTCCTACATCTGGGTGGTTTAAAAAAAAAACCACGAAGGAGGAAAAAACCACGCCCCCTCCTTCTAATCAAACCCGTCCGAGTTCTGTTGCCCCCCAAGTCTATTGGAGTACCTACCTAGTCGACGGAGCCCTGCGGCGCGGGGCTCCTGATTCTATTTTCTGGCTTCGCATGAAAGTCTTTCATCTTAAGTTCCACCCTTTTGTACTTACAAAATGTATAATCAATACGAATATACCAAGTCTTTTCAAAACAAGATACTTATCTAGAATGATATAAAAAAATCAAAGCCATAGTTTGAATAAAACACAAGGATTATGATTATTCGTATATTTATTCAAATTTATAAACATGCTTAATGGCAGTTATCAACTCTTCGAATGGATCCAACTGATGATATAGGTACATTTCTATACATATCCAGAGCCATTGGGTGTTTTGTTTATTCTGCTGCTGCCAAAATTTTTTGTTTTATCCCTCCCTATTCTTTGAGTGTGTGTCCCGTCGTCTGATGTCACTAACTTATTAGTCGGGTCGCTATGGTTGACCCGTTTGTGAATATAACCATGCTGAGGAAGGCTCAGATATGCTCTCCAATAGTGTATGAATAATGGAGCCTTCCTCAACATGTTTTTTTATTAGTGGCACAAACATCTCGACAGACTTGTCATTATCGGGACACACCTCAAGCCGCAAATCATCGCTCCCGTCTTCAATCATGCCAATCACCTAATGGCCCTCAATATGGCGTCCAAGATTATATTTTCTTTTTCCAAATTATGACTCATCAATTTGAAGTATTTTATTGGGGCCACCTATTTTCCCTTGAGCTCTCTGGTTCTCTAGTTCATATATTGATACTGTTTCCTGGCAATAGCTGAACCAGTCTGCCACAGTCCGTGTAGATATCACTGGACCAGGGATGTTACGGAGCTCCGACTCCGATTCCGATAAGTCGGAACTTCCAATTAATTCCAATAAATTATTTTTCTTTCTTTCTTTCTTTCAATTGATATTACACATCAGGTTCCGCCTTCGGCTCCGATACTTTAAATCGGAAGTTTTATTCGGAGGTCGAAGCATAGCGGTGGTCGCGGCGCGGTCAACACGTATGAACAAGGTTTTTGCTGGTCGCGCAGCCCCTCTCCCCGTGTGCTTTCTGTCGTCGATTACGTACTTACTATTTCACTCCACGCAATTTTGATGAAGGTTTGTTATTGTTTTGTGGTTGCGCGAAGAACGTGTCAGTTAAGTATTGAGTTATGTACTAGTTTTACCCTTTGGATAAGGCCCTGTAAGCATTAAATGATATAATTTTATTTAATTCTAAGTTTATAAGGCCTGATGTGCGCGTTGATGGCGGGTCTGTAGCGGGCTCAGCAAAGAGGTGCATCGTTCGACACATCAAACAACATTATTGGAAGCTATTCCACTTAAAATATATTTCTCTACTCCAGCAAAGGATTAGGTGGACGTCATCTATAGCAGACAACTGCCAGTAGCAGTGGCCCGCACTCTCCACCGCGCTCCCATCTTCGGACCGAGCCGACGACGCGCGCACATACCCCATTAAGTTTTGCCATTATTGTACCATTGTTCATTGAACCAATATATTGTGTATTAAGTGTTAGAGTCCACTTAATTTAAATAATTTTAATTAGGTCCTTAACACACCGTCCGTATTTAACATGAATTTGAATATTATTAGAAAAAAATATTTTTTAGTATTTAATATATAACAATGTTTTATTTCAAATCCGAATTTTATCTTAAAGTTCGATACTAGAAATATAAAAAGTAATATGAACCTCTTTCTATTTCGAATTACTAGATTCTATTTAGATTTCTACCCTATAAATGTTATCGATATCGATACTAAACCTACTAAAACAAAAACAATGCAATTTAGATCTTATCAAACAGCCCCACTAAAAATAGACACCTCTTTTAGAAATATTACATTACAAAACGTAGACACATTTAACCTACTCGGAATAAACATAGACACTCATATAAATTGGAAAGCCCACATAGAACACCACATAAAATCGAAATTGTTAAAATTCACATACGCTCTTTTCCAAATTAAATGCAGTACTAATATCGAGACGGCACCACAGTAAAAATATCATACAGTATTGTAACTCGGCCGCTTGAAAGAAATAAATACCTACAGCCGCGCGGTACGTAAACATGCGTTAGGGCTGCTCGTCTCCAGTATTTTAATTACCTTTGTCTACTTTCTGTTTCCATTTAGTTTTGTGATTGTAAATATCCTTTTTTTATATAAAGAAATAAAGTGCTTTAAAAATAAACAAACAAAATTTCTTTGGCCACCAATGCCGAACTGAACAGCTGACTACGAATGTTCTAAAATCACAACCCTCAAACATCAAAATATTACATGAGTCTAGCTTTTAATTTTGTTGTTATTAAAACCGAGAAAAAAAAACAGTTTTTATTGGTATTATGTTGTTAAAGCAGCAGCAAAAACTCTTTATGAAAATTACGAAAACTATCTAATGACACTATAATAAACAAATATTATTAATAATAAAATACCACACTCTCTACTTTGAATTATACAAACTAACAATACATGAACCGTTTTAACACAAGCGTAAGTAGGTAGGTACCTAACGTATCATGATTCATTCAGAACCAGAACCGTTATAGGCATAACTACCTATTTCACTCATCTCAATAACTTTATTCATTTTATTTATAAATTCAAACACCTGCTTTCGTGAGATAAAAGGAAGTATATGAATGATCCATTATAAAGACACACATTATGTACCTACCTAGGCTACTAGTAAGTAAATTATTTTATAGTCTTACCTTTCAGAGTTTCCAGGTAAATTAAAAAAACGTTTGTCTGGATGCGTTATTGACGAATTCATGCAACCAAACACAGCACACTATTCCTATTCGTCATATTAAATAATGTACTCGAGCTGATTTCTAAATAAAAGACAACACACCGTCCGTTCGTCACTGCGGTACAGCCGCGTCTGTCTGCGTCCCGAGCGCGTCCCGACATCGGGCGCGTAGGTATAGTTCGACATCGGGTTTCGGCCGTTAATATGAAGTTGAAATACTTGTAGATATTATTACCTTGACGGCACTGTCAGCTTACTTCGCATATGCGTCCTCGTGCTTGAGATACGGCATAATGCTGCGGGGCGACAGTGTTAACTTTCACGACCTATTCTTATTACAAAAAAAATGCGTACGAATCATAGCACAAATAGATAAATCAAGATAGCTGCAGACCCTATTTTATTAAATACAATATTCTAACACTACCATCAATATATATTTATGAAATATGCAAGTTTGTATTTAAAAATAAAGATAACTTTACTAAAGTAAAAGGCACCCATAATGTAAATACCCGACATAAAAACAGACTGTACCTACCACCATCTAGAATTAAAATGCTTAACCAAAGTCCTTACTACATGGCAGTCAAAATATTCAATAGATTACCGAAAGACCTTCAAAACGAAAGGAAGGAAATAATATTTGAGAGGAACTTAAAAAAATTCTTAATACAAAAATGTTTCTACTCAACCAAAGAATTCTTCGAAGGAAAATAGAACACCAACATTAATGTTAAAACCACGGAATAGAAAATACAGGTTAAAACCCACCTCATATACACACAAACGCCTACCTACTAACTCAACTAACAACTTATTTTTTTTTTTCTTTATCTAATTCTTAACTTTTTTGTTTTTTTTTTCTCTTTTATACAATGTGATGTAAATTAAGTAATTTAATATTATTTTATAAGTTAGTAATAGCCCTCTTTGCAACGCCTGAAAAAGGCCGTTAAGCTGTGCCTGCTATTTTAATTTAAGATCCTTGTACCCACCTTAACATGCAAATAAAGAAATTTGAATTTGTATACAGCTACCACATAACTGTTTGGTCTTTTAGGTTGGTACTATTGATTTTGACAACTGACGTCTCTTATTTATTACAATGTTGGTATTAGAATGCCATGTAAATTGATTCCATTTGCTTGTATGGGAGTCCCGTCTCTTAAATGTAGTGGTTACATACTCTTTGGTTTGACGTTTTATAAGTATTGCCACAACAAACGTTTCGTCCGTTTTGTAGTTCCAAATGTTACCGCCAAGTTCCACGGCGCGCTCCGTCACGCACGCACTGCAGCGCCTCGCCCTCCGCCAGCCGGACCCGCATGCGGCAGCTGTATTCTACACACTACACTACACTACAATGGTGTCAAGTGTTGTAAACTGACTAGGGATGAATATTCAAATTTTATTCAATTTGAAATCATTTTGCATTAATCCTTATTGAAAATTCCTGTTGTTCTATAAAAAGTCTCCCCGTTTTACATCAAGTAAACCAATAATCCGTCAACATAATAGTGAGAGAGGACTAACGATGGATGGATAGTAATATGTGTAATGTATCAAATATTATACTCGGAGATTTTTATTTATGTACCGTACCGCTTTTTTCAGGCTCGACTTTTTTCATATGACAAACTCGATTTTTGTACCACAAAATAAAAAGCTGGTATCACTACTGTACTTGCGAACGACGTCGACGACGAATCTTCATGTTTACTATTATTATCATGCTCAAATACCTACCGTTCTACCTATAGATAGACACGAACATAATTACGTATACTTTATGTAGATTGAATTGAAATTCTTTACGTAACGGTGGTTATCTAATTTTTACAAATAGTTTACCATGTTGACTGTGAATATAATTATGTGCTGAAATTAGAAAAATAAAAATAGTAGAAATTATCTCGATTTAACTGTTGTATTGTATTGTGTCATATCAGTTATCACAAACTGATTATGATAACCTGCGGGGGTCATTGAATAAAGCCATTTGATGCGCATATCAACGACTTCAATAGTATTGAATTCGCAGTTCAGTGAAACACATGTTTGAGATATTGGTTTGTTTATAAATTGTCATCGAGCGCACGTATCGATTGATTCCTCGGCCCTCGGGGAAAAGAGCGACAATTATCTTCCAGTAATCAGTGTGTTTCTACGTTTGTGAGTTGTGATACGTGTAGACTTTTATATTAATCCTCAATTTATTGTATTAAAATAATTTGTGTTCTGTTTTTTTGCGGTGCGCAGAACCAGTGACGTACATAGAGTAGTCCGATTGATTACCGACCATGTCGCAGATAAAGTTGATAAGCCGCGCTAGTCGTGTGTTGTCCGTGTCCGGCGTAGGTGTACGGTCAGAATTTAGCGGAAAAGTTTTACTACAGCTACAAGGAAATCATACGAGCGCTAGAACCATGACGAGCTCTCAGAAGAAAACGCTTACTTTAGAAACAATGAACCCAAATATTACAAAATTAGAATATGCCGTACGTGGACCTCTAGTCATGCGCGCCTCTGAAATTGAAAAGGAGCTTGAAAAGGTATGTTCTGGTCATTTTTGTTTATTATTTTGCATAGCTGTGGCAACTTTGGTGATATTACATGATTTATTACTACATACCACAAGTACCTCGATACTTAAAATGAATGTTTTAAGGATTGTTATCAGACCATTGTTGCTCATTGATTGAACTTTATATTATAGTCATTTAGGCCAGAGTTATATTATGTACCTACTTTCTTCAATGAATAAATTTAGAACTCATATATATTGATTTATTCAGACCCACACATAGAAACATAAAATTGCCATATTTGAAGTAAATATTATTAGTAAATAAGTACAATATTACAAAGAAACCCTAAGGATACTCACCGACTGAGAGCAATCTGCTCGAGAATTACTATGAAAATAAAAATTTTATGTACTTACCTCTCTACTTAAAAAATCTCATGATATCACAAGTTGATATAATTCTTGTGCTTGAGTAAATATTCTTACAAAACAGTAATTAGGGTATTGCTCACAGTGTTACTTCTTATTGTAACTAACAGGGGTTATCATTAGTCACCACTAGCAATACTTGTATAATTATCAAAATAATGTTGTGTCGCGTGCTTGCATCATTTCATAGAACAACAATATGAAACTTAAGTACCCAACAGCTCCTTTCTTATTTCTCATAAGAAATATCAGTTTCAACTGCTACCTTCAAATTCTGTAAATTTATCAGTAATTAACATTGGATACAATAGACGCTTCCCATCATTCTAACCTAATTAAGTAGTACTGCTTGTTGAAACAGATGATTCTCATAAATCACATTATATAAAACAGTTCTAGTCAGCTGCAAAGTGTATTTATACTGGTATTTAAATAACAGAAGTAAATGATTTACTAAAACAAAAAAAAACTGGCCTTTTAGACCCACTCTATCTGAACTATTATTCTAACTCTCTGATGGTGTATTAGAACTGTTTTAGAATCAAGCAACTACACTTTATATCTTAAATGCGATGTGTGTGTGTGTCTTGAAGGAATCAAGCCTGGCACAGGTTTCATTCGCCCAGCCACTGCATTTGCTACCTGTATTGTAGTTGTTTGCTCAATATTCCTCATCAACCCTTTATACAAACACAACACATAGTTATTCACATTAGTTAAGTATGTTATTATTATAACTATTATAAATTTATTTAATTTGCGATGTAGGTATATAATGTATGTGCCTTTGGCGTTAAGTCCTATTTAGGCATTACATAGATAACGATAACAATTGTGCAAAAAAAAAATTTAAATAAAAAAAATTCTATGAAGAGGACTCTAGCAACTAAAGTAGCTTAATTTCAACTGATTGTTCTGAACTGTAAATTTGTATACCCGTTTAGTTTCTAACTAATAAAATTGACTCTATCTCCGTAAAATATATTGCTTTTAAGTATTTAGTCCCGGGACTTATTGACCTACATGATAAAAGCTTATATTAGTTGTATACAAGACTTAATTAAAATTTAATTTAGATACTAATTTTACTTTCACATCTATTGTAAATCAGGGTAGATTGTCAGTAACTTCTTTAGACTCCTTATTAACAACTATGGACAACTAATAAAAAAACTATTGTCTTTGCTATATAGGTATGTAGTAAATGTATCTATAACATACTGTACTGACTTGAGGTCAAAATGTGAAAGATCTAGCATTGCTCAAGGCTACAATAACCGTGAAGTGGACAGATTTGATCTACTTCCTAATGAAAAGTTACATAAGAGAATCAGTCTTGTTGTAATTTATATTGTATTTACCCAAGAATGAAGCCTTATGTTGGAACAATGGGTATAATTATCTGTATGCTATCTAACTAAACAAATTTACATGTTCCTCTCAACATTTATTACAGTTGATAACATACATGGAGTATCTAGGTATATTTATTTAACTATTTGGTATAGGTAAGTACTGTAATGGTCTAGGTAATTCTCTATGCCCAAATGAAATTTCAAGTTTTATATATATTTTTATATGTATAAAAATTGCAACTAGGTGTCAAATATTGCTAGGTAACCTACTAGTAACCTGTAGTTTCGAACTACGTCATTAACTGTGAGTACCTGACATGGTTGCATGTCAGTCGAGTCGATAGCAGCACACTGCGCCACCTTAATAATACAAGTACCTACCTACCTATAGGCTAGTCAAATAGCTTCCTACTTATTATTCATACTTATCGATTTTTCTTAGCGCGACATCTAACATGGTCACATACTTACGTGTAGAATCTGTCAATATAAATAGGTTCTTTGTATGTAGCACTTGGGCAGGTACCTACTACCAGCTACTTTCTGAAGGCAATAAAAGCATTTTTTTCAATTAGGTAGATAAGGAAATATTGAGTATTGTCGATTAACAATAGACGCCAAGTTCGAGAATAACTTCATGATTAAAATTAACTTCAGTCTCGGTTTGTTCTTATGCTTTTTTACTTTTCTGCTCTGGGTGGGAAAGAGGATTGTCAGATTCTTTCTGACTTAAAACCATCCTGTTCTCTTTCATGCTCCAGGCCGGCACGGCGGTCCATTATTGCCTACCGTTCTTACACCTGCAACCCCGGCTGTGTATTGTTATGTTTTGCGGTCGCAGTGTCGCCTGTCGGTAGCTAACCGAGTGTGAAACGGTTGCGGTCAGTGTGGTACGTGCGTCGTAGGTATTCATGTTACACCTGTAACACTGACACACTGCGGCTCTGTGTAACTGAGAGCTGGTCCCTAGGTCAGGGCTCTGCTAACCTTAGATCGTCGATCATCGTTTTAGCCTTTTAACCGACTTCAATAGGTACAAGAAGTTATCAATTCGAACGTATTTTATAACTTGATATATGTATAAGTATTACTACGCGTCTGTACGCCCCTCGACAACCTGACGTCATAGGCACTTGCCTAATTTGTCTTCGGGAGAAAACTGCTCTATGTGTATACCACGGAGCAAAAAACCCGAATGAGAAGTAAACAGATTCTTGGTGTATTATACCGTGTGCTACTAGTGCAGTAGTGCAACTGTGCAGGATATAGATGTTCACGTTGTGAATGTCCTTAAAATAGTTCATGTGCGCAGGCGTCGTTGCAGCTGGTATGCGGGAATTCGTAGCTTTGTGTTGTTCATTATGTAGTATTGAATGTCCATCACTTGCATTCATTCGTTTCCACGATCAATGTGGAGTAACGAGAGCAATACTTGCACTTTAAGGCACTTAAAGTGTAGAGTAACTTTCAGGTACTCACGTACTGGTTATTAATGTATTATTATTTGACGCCAGGGAGCGAAGAAGCCGTTCAAGCAAGTGATCAAAGCAAACATCGGAGATGCACACGCCATGGGACAGCAACCCATCACCTTCATCCGACAGGTAGGAGCAGCTGCCGTCACTGGCTGAGAAACGAACTAAATAGTATATCCTGTTAGCTACTTAACATCATCACACTAGGTACTTAATGAGCTGTAAGTATGCAAGCGAGTTAGTACAGAGTTAATATTTCTACAACAAACGGAACACGAGTGGACGCGATCTGATTATGATAACATGAGTAATCGCTGGAAATGTTTCTGTATTGTTTACATGACGCTGAGATTGGACGGGAAATGTTTCGCGTTGTTGCCGTACCGTAGATTCAGAATGTACAATGTCAACAAAATTCCTAGAAAACTTAGTATTTACCTAACGAGTCAGTCTGTCTGAGTCGAAGTTGACTCGTGTAGCACTAGCTCCGTACTTAAGTTTTCGTCTACAAGTCACACGCTATCTTTTCTCAGGACTAGATGACCATGGAATAGGATTGTTCAGATTGTTCAGGATGTAGATGACCCAGTGTCGACGGCTAATATTCGTACGCTGAGTACAGGCCAGACTCCTTATAATTGCGCAATACTTTCTATCTCTAGATCTACATAATTATGTACCTATGTAAGCAATGCAAAGAATGAGCTCGGCCTGAAAGTGGCAAGTTGTATTTAAATGATTGTTTATATTACATCAACTGGCCTGGTCTGCTGATAAGGAACTCCGTATTGCGTAGTACTGACTGCTAATGATCATTGCATGAAATAGTAAACAAATATAAATAATGGAAAGTCTCTAGTTCATTGATAACGAGAATTTTAATAAGGCGATGGGATCCGGTAATGTCAATGACTTGTTGGCACTACATATGTATATTATCACCATATACCTATATCACACCAAATATGTTCCAATAATTGCAACTTGCCACCGACTAGGGTTCACTATCTGGTGACTTGTCTGTACGTGAGATTTGAAACTGTGCTGTGTATCACAATTATGATTTTTTGCCGACAACTTTTAGGTTTCCATACCCAAAGGTTAAACAGTTGACATTTGGACCGATACTGTATTTTTGTTGCCGTTTTATCAGTTTAAGAGAACGAAACGAAAGAACCCTTCGTGCATGAGTCCGACTCACACTGTTTTGCTATAACATGGTATTGCTGATACATATAACCTTGATTCCAACTTGTACGTGCACAGGTCCTCGCCTGCGTGTCGCATCCAGACTTGCTGTCGTCGGACCACTTCCCATCCGACGTGAAAGAGAGGGCCAAGGCGATACTTGGCGCCTGCGGGTCTGTACATCTGTCAACTAACTTATGACATTATGACATACAATACATATGACACCAATTGGATAACAGTAAGAAGAGCAAATTGTAGTCTATGGCTCCTGTACCATATACACCACACCTGCTTTATTGGTTTTTAATTGTTTTACTTTTGACGGCCTATTTATAAAAATCAATGAATTGCTTCATTGTTGCAGCGGCATGTCAGTGGGCTCGTACACAATGTCGCACGGCATCGAGCTGATCCGACGCCACGTGGCCGAGTACATCGAGCGCCGCGACGGACAAAAGGCTAACTGGGAGGATGTCTGCCTCACCGGGGGGGCGTCCAGCGGCATCAAGAGCTGTCTCCAGCTGCTCTGCAAGAAAGTCGACGGCAAGGACTCCGGTCAGTAACAAGCACACTCTATTAGGCTTTCTAAAAGTTAAAACCAAACTAGTAATACATAATACACAGCATGTACCTGTGTTGTGTAACTACGCAAGTATTGTTGCAGTACTCAGTGCGCTCACTGTGCACACAGTGGAACCAACAGTGCTGGCTGTGTGTTGGTATAATTATATCGCCGTCTGGTTCGCTTGTCGGCGATGTAAAAATTCACATTATAGGCAAATCCATAGGTAACTTTATGGAATTATGAATGACGTCGTGGAAAACGAGTGCACGTCTGCCAGTGGGGCGTGATGTATCGCTCGATCTTTACTGATATGAGTTTATTAACATTGCAATGATGTAATCTTGTTATCTTAATTAGATGACGGTTCTAATCATCGGCATCTGCCACCGATAGCGCTCACTGCCGATAGCAACTGCAGTTTGGTCACGGTTCGGTACTATCTGTTATTGCCCACGTATTTATCAAGTAAGAGTTTCACTTGTAGGTATATTATATACCTAAAAGTATATAGCTTATTATTTAAATGTGCTAAATACCGCAGTGAAAGAATCAATCGTTTTGTCGGCGAGGAAACCCTACAAAGGATATTGAACATATGTACATAGATACATAACTTCTACAAATCTATCTCTTGGTAAACAAACCCAAAAAGTTGCGATGAAAACTTATTACCTACATTAAAAGTAACTTTTCTAAAATCTGAAGTAGTATACACAACACATATACTTACCTAGTTAGCTAGGCTAGTATAAATATATGAGTACGTGACGGACAGTTTCCGAGCGCGCGAAATGACAACAAGAGGACGGTGGCAAGGTCGAGTCGCTGAGATTGAACAAAACGTGTTTCACGTGTTCCGAACCGGTTGTAGGCACTGAATGTAACTTAACTGTTAACTTATTTATATCCGGAAACCAAGGAAAACGTACAGGAGGATTTGCGACTTCATAGGGGGGTCTTTTGCCCGCCGGTCCACCGGAGACTACGGCTAAACCACTATTTTACAGGGAGCTAGGGACTACCTACTTCCATCGTTTGCGTTACAGCACCGCTGACTGCAGTGTACCGCTCTGTACATAGCGATCTAGCTACTACATTGCATTTCATTACTCGTTGCCATTAACATTAGCTTTAGCAATAACGTGTGTGCTATAATGGAATGGTTCGCAAATAACATTCAAGGTTAAAGTAATTCATATTGATTACTTCTGTTAAAAGGTACTGCGACTCAATAAGTTGTCCCTCTCTTTGTCGGAGCATGTGACAAAAGAGATGGACTGTAGGTTCCTACGTGCCAATACTTCAACTTTATCTATTTTCGAAAAAGTTTGCTAGGTGTCAGCCTTCTTGTCGCTCGGTGACGTGTAAGGATTATGTACAAACTGAATGACAATGTTTTTGCAATATTGAAGATGATTTTATACTGTTTGGCGTGTATTTCACAGTCAGTCAGTTATATTTGATATTTCATGGAATCGGGAGTAGCTGATGACGCCACTGTAGTGAACGTGTGCCGCAACCGACATTACGTTGTTACCTATGAGTCTGACCTTTAGGTGTTCGCTAACGGTGAACTATTGGATGTATGAATGTATGTCTTCCCTTCGTCATGTTGGTTCGTATGTTGCCACACGCCGTCCCCTGCGACGTGGAGTGACAGTCCGCGACCGAGCCGGCGACACGTCGACGCGAGTGTTGTACCGCGGCGCGACCTTGTGCGGGTAACGACCGCGCGGCGCTGTCCTGCATACAATTATACAATCACACGGTATTATATCGAAAGTAGTGAGATTACCGCGCGTATCTAGCCACACTCGCAATGATAACAAATCGTTTTGATGGTTGCGACCATTTTCACGAACAAGGATGATGATTAACTTTATTAAAGCCCGGCTATTATATGCCTGCTTAAATTTAAAGTATTCGACTCCTATAATGAATATCTTCCGACATTAAAAAATGATAATGAATTATTGTAATGAAATAATGTTTGCGCAGGTGTGTTGATCCCGATCCCTCAGTACCCGCTGTACTCAGCATCGCTGGCTGAGTATGGGCTCGGCCAGATCGGGTACTACCTGGACGAGGACAACAACTGGGCGCTCGACGTCAAGGAGCTGGAGCGAGCCTTCCAGGAGGGGAGCAAGACGCACGCCGTGCGAGCCATCGTCATCATCAACCCCGGGAACCCCACCGGACAGGTACACTTGCTATACTTACTAGTATAACATTCTGTTATTTAGTCCAGTCAAAATAGACATTCCAGTTTGCATTAATTCCCAACAAGCTGGATTTTTGTGCAGGCCTTGAATACGTCATTACAAATGATATGTCGAAAGTCCCCATCGATCCCGCTTGTGCGTTGTTTTTTATTCGAGGTCAAAGGTCACAAATTTGCGTTTTTTGCGTATATCTCTGAAACAACGAGAGCTATCGAAAAATTCAGATAAAGTTTGTAGATCGTAAAATTGTCTACAAAAAATATCTCAACACTTTTCTCCTACAAAGCATCGCTTTCGAGATATCGTGACTTTAGAACGCAGGAAAGTCGTACTTTCGACTATATGCACACATTTCCGCACCACCTCTGAGGTAGTGTACACGGCGCTTTTTTTTAACGTGGTTTCCCCAGTAGGAATACTCCACAATATATTTTGATCGAGGGAATGTAATGGGACACTATTTTATTGATGAAATTCTTTTTTTTTTTTAATTTAAGTAATGATAATTTTACCAGCAATAAAATTACATTATCATTCAACATCAAATTCTTCTTAGTCACTTGTTTCTTCTTCATCACTGTCTTCTTCCTCTTCTTACTCGATTTGTGTAGACTGCTCCAAGAAGAGAGATATATCCTCATCAATTTCGAAACAATCTTCAACAATGATAATGATCATTTGTCATTGATTCTAAGAAAAAAATGTATTTTATATTCAGCATAAGACTAAAGATTATGAAAATGTCAGGTGCTGACCCGCCAGAACATCGAGGACATTATAAAGTTCGCACACAAGCACAGTCTGTTCCTGTTCGCGGACGAGGTGTACCAGGACAACGTCTACGGCGAGGGAAGCAAGTTCTTCTCCTTCAAGAAGGTGGGTCACGTGGTCACATAAACATTAATTATAGAAGTTGGTCTGTACATGACTATGTATAGTTATGAACTAAGGTATAACTTAGTTATAAGCTGTAAGTGGGCAACTGGCTGCCGCGCAACGTGTCGCGGGTTCGATTCCCACACGGAACAACTCTTTGTGTGATCCACAGATTGTTGTTCCGGGTCTGGGTGTGATGTGCATGTGAAATTGTATTTTTGTAAACGCACCCACGATACAGGAGACAATCCTAATGTGGGGCAACGTTTTTTTTTTTTTAAAAAAGTTATCAGTCCTTGCGACTTTGTAAGCTTACAGAATCGTAGTTAGAACAATATACATAAAAGCATAATTTGACTTTATTTGTAGTTAAACAATTTTTTTTATAATTGTAAATATTATAAATAATTTTATAATTAAAGACAACCTAAGAAAATACAAGTCGAATGCCATATATGTGACATTTTAAAAATGTTACCATAATATATAAAAACTTTTTATTAGATTCTGCACAATGTCTGTATTTATAATTATTTAATTATACTTTTTTTCCTAATATTGTAAATAATTGGTTTGAGGGCACGACTCATGCGGAGCATATCTGTTTTTTTGCCATGTCGCGATGGGAACGTGTAGATAATGAGAATGTGGGCGCGTGTTGTCAGGTGATGCGCGAGCTGGGCGCGCCGTACGAGTCGGTGGAGCTGGCGTCGTTCATGTCGATCAGCAAGGGGTACATGGGCGAGTGCGGCCTGCGCGGCGGCTGGATGGAGCTCTGCAACCTGGACGCCGGCGTGCAGGCCAACCTCTACAAGGCCATCTCCGCCATGCTCTGCCCCACCACGCTCGGACAGACCGCCGTCGACTGCGTCGTCAGTATACCACACTATAACCTTACACATACACTATATTCACCTAACACAACATCTAAAGAGGTGCTTTTGAATTGTCTAAATAGAATAGTCTGTCAGGAAAGCTAAGTGCTATTCCAAAGTGTAGTTTCTAATGGAGAAGAACAGCAAAAAATTTCATTGTTATTCTTTAAAAACACATTATTATGCTTTACACATTCACCGATACATTATTTAATACACAATTGTTCCAATTGTACCCATATGTGAGAAAAACGTAAGCTGTTAGAACTCCATTTTCACACTGTCATATTATCCATTCTAATCAGACACTCACCTGTTTAGCTGCAGAGTCAGCCGATGTAATAAAGTAATGACCTCCAGGCGCGGCCCCCGATGCCAGGCGAGCCATCCTACGATCTCTGGCACAAGGAAAAGACGACGATACTGCAGTCACTGAGCGAGCGAGCCAAGACCATCGCGGACACCTTCAACACTATGAAGGGCTTCAACTGCAACGTGGTGCAGGTCCGTACTTAGCCAGTGACACTGACGTTACAGGCTAAATGCCGAGCGTTGATGAAGAAGCGTTTACTAATGGTATCTCCTGGTCCAGGGCTCCATGTACGCGTTCCCCCGCGTCGACTTGCCTCCGAAGGCCATCGAGGCCGCGAAAGCGGTCAACCAGCATCCTGACGTATTCTACGCGTTCCGACTGCTCGAGGAGACTGGTCAGTCTGATATTAGTACACTGCTTTTCAATATGATTTCGATTTGATGCCCATCTTACTTCATGCTGGTATGTTGCAGGTATCTGCGTGGTCCCAGGTTCCGGTTTCGGGCAACGTCCCAACACGTACCACTTCCGCACCACCATACTGCCGCAGCCCAAGCAGCTACAGGAGATGCTGGAAATCTTCAAAGCCTTCCAAGAAAAGTTCACCAAGGAATACTCGTAAACACTCGCCTCACGAGCCACTAGTCACGACTGAACCATTGTAGCTGCGAACTGGACCCGTTCTAACATAACCTCCTCCGTCACTTGTGGCGCTAATTAAAAATGTATGCTATTTTTGTTTATGAAACACAAGTAGCATATAATTTTACGCGCGGTTTTGGTGACTGGAAGAAGTAATTACTATTTCGCAGCTCCAAATGAAAGTATCAGTATGTGCACACGTGGGACTAGTTCCTGCTAGGTACATTTACATTTGTATGAATTGTGTCTGTACGTCGCGTCGTAGTCGACTATAAAACGCGTGTACTTTGCGATTTACTCAATATGTATTAGCAAGTTACCTCTGAGATTACACACTTAAGTATTACCGTAAGTCTCAATATGTCAGTGTAAACTATATAAGGACTTAATGTTATCTCGAGGGTGAGTGCCATATTGTCCCCGGCCGGTACTCGCGTCAGCTCGTCACCGGCTGTAGCAAGCATGCTATTGTATTTATTTTATCTAAGCACAAAACCAGTTTTGTATATTTTTTAAGGAATGTGCAGCAGTACGCCCTTATTTAATTTCGTTTCTGTCTAATCAATAAAACAATAATATTATTGTGTCATTACTCATTATACCTAATTAAGGGGTTATTTATTACACTGTTGCTGGAATTAGAGGCGTTGTACTTGATCTTTGTTGTGGAAATTATTTTATTTTAGCATGTTCAATTCAGTTTCTTACGATTCATACAAGAACATCAAAAATAATTTGATAGAACTTGTAGCTACTTATAATTTTACTACGGAACATTTTTTTGTATCTATGAATTTGTAATCAAATATTAAACATACATTAATGAAGTTGATATTGTTAAAATGCTTGAAAATATTAATTACCTACTGTAGGTATTTAAATGTTATGTAACTAAAAGACATTGAGTTTACTAGGAATTCGATATTTTTTTAATTTTGTAATGATTTATACAGTTTTTGTAAGTGGCATTAATCTACAGCTAGCAGTGAAAATTATAAGCTATCCAAGAACAATAGCACGTCCTGTATTCGTGTTGTAGAAATGCCCCAAGTGGATATGTTTGAATAATTATGTATTTATACTTACTACTGTAACATATTATGATTTATTTTTAAATGAAACTTGCCTTTACTAACGTTTACTGAGCTGTCAGCCGAGTGGTTGTTTTATGTAATTACTTTCTGGTCTACTGGTGCAATATATTAATATACTATTCGAGACATTCCGTCTTGGAATAATGCGTTTAATGCTAATTATGTGATTTCGTTAATACACTAGTTAAGTGATTGTTATTGCGTTGTTGAAAATTGAATAAATTGTAAAGCAAAGCATTTCCTCGTATCAATTTAAAGATCTAGCAGTAATTGTATGGATATTACAAACGCGAAGGCTTGTAAGTATGGAAATTATAGTCTGCAATAACTTATAACTATATTATAGCTACTTTTCCGGGTAACGTAGGCAGAAGCTAGTCTATTCTTTTTTGTTGATTTTTTCGGAATTCACGATCATCAAACACATTATATCAAAATAATGTAAAAATCAATTTTATGCGTCTGACAGTTAAAACACGAAAATGATCGCTTATTAACACGTTATACAAGGTCCACGGGCTGAATAAGTCTTGTCTAACATTTCATACAATTTTCTCAATGGTTATAACAGCTGTATACGCGAGAAATGTCAAAAGTTGATTATTAGTAATGAGTCTGCTATACCTCTGTTATGATGTGTGTAAATCTTTATTAGTAAGGGGGTAATATTATAAAGAGGTAGTGTGTAGGGGGTAATATTTGGAACCATTGGTCGGATTCCCAAAATTCTTTCACTTATTGATGACTACAATGTTCCAGAGTGCTATAGGCTACAAAACATTACGCTACAATCAAATGGAGCCGAGCAGCGAGAGAAACCGCGCGGTAGTAGCTAGTTTTCTATAATTCAGGTGCCTATATAGGAAAATCCGCAGACAGATATAAATCAAATGTCAATCTATGTTCACTCCATCATAAGCAAAGCAAACCTTGTTCTGCATGTACCCAGTCTTGGGATTGCGCTGCTATTATTTAGTGGAACTTCGAGGTTCTATTATAAAAAGTAAACGAAAGCTCACAGTGGCTTATCGTTCCTTTGCTCACTCTCAGTCTATTTGTCTTTTTTTTGTTGGAGGGAAAATCGAAATTAGCGAGAGGGAGTGACAGACTTCTACTGACTAAAAACCCCCGTTCCTCGTCCTGCTTCAGGCGGGTTATTCCCGTTCGTCCACTCTGTGGACGACTAGGAATGTTGCGTTTTGTTCGTCTACACTGTGGGCCCAGTATTCCCAGTCGCCTCATCCCGTCATCTCACATTACTAAAGTTTACTAAGATTTATAAAGAAAACAAGATGATAGTATTTATTACCATCTTATCTTCATTATTACTTCAATTTTAATTTTCCACACTGGACAATGGGGTGTCGACCAATGGGAATGACCCCTTCAGGCCAAGGCCGCGGTACCTTATTTTGCTTGCCCCGCAACAATATAAAAACGCATTAAATCATAATTCCACAATGGATGCTATTTAGATATATGTAGTTATCTAGTACAGGCCAGCTTATTGTTGTATTAGTCAAGCATTACGAGGTAAAGCGAATAACCTACCAGCGAGATATCTGCGATAAGAACAACTAGAGAAATATTAGGTACAATAAACCACAATAAAAGTACTATAAATCATACGAGTATGTACCTATAGTGGCGCTGCTTGTAGATATGTACTTATAGGTATGTATAAGAGACGGGTTTCGAGTAACAACGCCATCTGTCTGGAATACAGCAATGCTTATTCTACCCGCCATCGCGGGACTCAATCATACTGCCAGTTGGTAGGTTCCTACACAATTCGACGTAGTATTCTAAACTGAAGGCGTGTAGAGGGCGCTAGGAGGGACTTGAAGAAAACTATTTACCAGGATTTGTGCTCGTAGGTTTTATAGGTAGTTCGTGCCAATAGGTTCAGTTATTTACTCACCTACTTCCGAGTAGGTCAACTACAAGTCTACGACGCATTCCTTTATCGAACGACCCCGACTGCAGTTACGTACGTTCCTTTTAAAAGTAAAGAAAATAGGTTCCTACGACTTACGATAGCCACTAAAATAATTATTATTACCGACTCACGTTGGTCAATCCATTTTATTTTCTCCCGATGGACATAAACGGTAACATTTCCGTGAGTGTCATGACTCACGAAGTTAATAAACTGATATTGTTCAAGCAATAATATAAAAACACCAATAAAAAGGTAGTTACTAAATAGGGGTATTTTAATTAAATTTAGGTACATGAGAATATAAATAATGGCTATGTCCCATGGAACAAGAGAAGAAACTCATACACCAAATTGTGAATAAGCTAGGTACCTATGAAATGATAGACAGGGAGATACAATCAGTTGACAAGTAACGTACCTACTTACGCTTAGGTAGCTAAGTAAGCTGCGGCTATACGGCCGGGGAACTGGTCAGATACAAATTTGTTGTTTCTGGGGATACAGAAGACAAGGGCAAATACGTGGGCACATTCCTTGACTAAGAAACAATCATAAATATCATCTTACGGGGATCATGATGTGTTATGCAGGCAAAAAACTTAGTGGGTTGCATCAAGTGATGTAGACACCGGACTAGGTGGACCTGCAGGATGTTAATTAAGTGAAACTTTACCGATTTAAGTTAACTTGTACTTAGTTTTGCAGACCTACTCTCCAAGTAAATACCTACCTAATCAAAAGTAAATCTATGCCTTTGTTACAACCCACTTTTGTATTAGATACATCGGCATCACAAATCCTAAGAGTACTCATTCAAATATCATCTCCTTTCTTCCAATTAGTCTGGTATGTCGTCAAGTGTTGTAATATTATCAGCGGGTACAAGAGGCTCTCGATGCGACGATAGGCTGTGATCCTCCGGACCTCTGCCGAGTGGCGCGTGAAGAGCGGGCCGCGGCCTCGGATCGAGCGCGCAGCGGTTGCGCGTCGAACGAACTCGACACGTTCGGGCTTCGGGAACACTGGATCGTGTACCTGCGTCACGTGACCCTATCAAATATACGTCACTGTTACTGCTTTAGCTGTATCTGGATGACATTTATTTTAGGAATTTTACAAGATTGCATTAGAAGGACTGTTACCACATGATGCGAAAACCGCGAAGTGAAAATTGCGAGTTGGTTTTACCGCACAAGGGGTCCCACGTAGATAGTTTTATTTAAAAAAAAAACCACAAAATATCTACATAACACACATCACGTTATCTGATCACTGTAGATGATACCTATCTGTCTATAATAATTCTGTTTTCAGCATGTTGTTGTTCTGGCAGCAGAAACACATCGTTTCACTATCACGGTTCATGAGAATCAGCCTAGGTACATACCAGACCATACAGTAGGTAGGTAAATAGATAATATGGTCTCGTTTTCGTTTTTATTAAACTCAGAGTTCCGTAGATACCAACCTACGGAACCCTGAGTTTAGATCTGAAAATAATTTTATTTATCGTGTTAATAATCGGTATCTAGGTGACTAGAGACCGAAGTTGTTCATGTTGTACCTATATACATGCTCACACAGGTAGATAACCGACATTTTTCCTGTTTCAATATTGTTCATCTTAAACTACGTACTGTCTCACGAGAGCGTGGCAACAATCATTTTATCTTTATTATACATCAATACATAGACTCCCTTACTTAGGTACATTTACAATTAGCTTTAGGGAAAACACTGTGAAACTGCCGAAAATGTGAATCCCCGCGCGGTGCATTATGCAGACGTGACCTGTTTCTTAATTCATTAGATACCGCAGCTGATATCTTTGGTAATGATTGACACGTGCTGTGGCATCTTCTGGTTTTTCTAAACATTTACCAAAATGACGAATAAGTAATTAATATTAACGCGTACATGTTTAACCTCTTTATCTGAGTATCAAGTAAGTAACATTTGGAACGAGGGAGGTACCGGCAGCCGGGCAGCTTCAGTTTATCGGCTCGAGTTAAGATGTATTGTAACTTGCAGAGTTAAGCAAGCGATATAATGAGGGAATCACCTCCCGACGCGCACATCGCGCGCTGATAACGTGGGGGCTGTCAATAAGGTGTGTGCACACTGACGTTATAATTATCTGCCATTTAGCCAATCTGCGTAGCTATGGATTAGGATACATCAGTAAGAAGATATCTTCCCGGTAAGGAGGACAGTGACATTAGCTTTTCGGGATATTATAAAACTAGCGAAGGCTTATGTTGATAAAGTGGCAGAGCAGCTCGCGTCAGGCGGGAGTGATGGCGGCGGGCGGCGGAGTGGGGCGGCGGGGGGCGGTGCGCCCTCGCTGCTACAATGAGCTAGAAAAATGCAATCATTTGTCTGGAACGTTTATAAAAGTGAACTCATATACTTGCGTACGACCGCAGTACGAGCTCCTCCATTACTTGACTTACTGTTACATTGCATTGGTTCGTGCACTGTGCACGAACGATGGGTTGACCAGTCGACCGCTTTCGGAGCCTATTTTCATTTTCATATAATCACTACATAGCATAAAACAAAGTCGCTTTATTTGTCCTTATATCTCCATGAATGCCTTAATCTTTAAAATAACGCAACATATTTTGGTGCGGCTTTTTAAATAGACAGTGTGATTAAAAAGGAAGTTTATAGGTATGTATAATGTAAACCTTCCTTTTATATTTATCATACGTTAAATAGTCGAGAAATTTAGTATCAGTATTGCACCTATGCGAATCCGGAGCGAGTCACTAGTTAGGTAGTAATAAATGTTAAATAGTAATAGTAGCGCATTTTCATTGAATGCCGTAGTAAGTTTCTACTTATACCTACAAACAGATTACATAAATAATGCACGTCGGGATTTGATATATCTTGGAATGAAGGTAATCGCATTAACGACCAGTTTTTTAATTTTATGACATAAATTATAATAATATGTAAAAGCCCACCCCGTGGCCCACCCACACAAGCTTGTGTCCGAGCCTTAACAGCAGCGTGCAATCACGCGCGGGGGTACGTTTAAATAACGTTAGTAGCTGCGCTTGCGCAGTAGACTGCGTCGCTGCGTGCACTGCGCTTGCGTTTACTTACACCGCTCAGCTGACTAACCTGTGATACACGATGAAGCTGGACAACAGCCTGACTGCCGACAACATCAACCAGAACTTGCTGAACATCGAGTATGCGGTGCGAGGACCCATCCTGCAGCGAGCTCTGCAGATCGAGAGGGAGCTGGCAAAGGTAGGCAACGTTTCCCAGTAGCAAGTTATAGTGCTCCTCAGTATTACCCAAAGTGTTATCCTGACATCCAAGTTCAAATATTTCCGAGTTATACATAGAAATTCAACGATCGCCGCGCGCCGGTCCGCTGTTAATGTCTCAAATTCCGAGGAAAACTGCGAAATTGATTTCGCACGGTTAATGAAAATGGTAGGATTGTAAAAAAGGAAAATATCTCTAAATCTATTTATTTGTAGATAGTGTTTGTATCAGGTAATGAATCTACATAGGTTCATACTTATAACCTTTATTGTGAGTTTAGGACATGACTATTGTCTAACCAGATTTACGAGTAGGTAAGGATCGGAAACAAGAGTACTAAGTTTGAGGTATATTTGTACTAGATGGGAACAATATTAGAATGGTAAACTGCACAGAAACGAACATCTTCATCGTTGTGTTATAATTGTCCGCGCGCAGGTAGCACTAACATTTGCGATATATTCACGATGTAAAAGGAAAAGAGAGAACTGTAGCGAGTAATGACTGTTTAGCTGTTATCATAGTTTTATCCGGTCGATATTCAAAGGAATAAAGAATTAAGATTTCCGAGTCTGGATACTTTACTGTGACATAGTTGACGTTCTGGGGTTTTAAACAAGTGTGGTAATGTGTAGCAAGCGGCTCAGCACACGACGAGCAGGCAGTAAGTGCATGCTGCATGGCCACACTGTAGAGTACCTAGTTAGTAACATTTAGTTTGCATCCAAGTTGGTCGGTCGTTGTACCCGCGGCGGAGTGTAGAACTGTTAGAGGTCGATAGGTCGATAGTTTCCATCAGCATTCACGAGCGCACTTCAATAATACATCGGAATAGCTTTCCTAAGTTAAACAGTTTCTTTTGTAAAGGTCGCGTAGTGGGCGATTTACAAAAAATATAGCGTGTGATCGCCGGGACCGTCATAAAAACGTCAGGTACGGGTTACTACGGGTTAATCTGGCGCCGGGTCGCGGCCCGAGCCGAGCTGTGCCCGCATTGCCCACGTTTATTCCTTATTGGATCCCGTCTAAATAAGTATTACTGATCCCGCGCGTGTACGCCTCGCTGCCACTCTGCTTGACCATTATTTGCTACGACAGCGTTTTTGTAACATAGACTTTAAAAATAAAATATGAAGAATAGGTATAGGTACCTATTTAATTCTACACTTTTTATTTTGCGATAAACAATATTAAAATGTGAAGGTTTATGAGTAAAGGGTTACAACATTTTTCTCATAACGGAGGTGCGGGAGGTTTGATGTTTTTGTAACAATAAAACCTATCCTCTAGACTCGGTGATCAAGTGGTGAAAAAGGAGAAAGCTGAAGGCGTCTGACTTTTCCCAAGTTGTACATTCTACGTTTATCTAGACATCAATAGCATACTGCGAAGGAATAAATAGTGGTAATCGTAAAAAATCTAAACTTACAAGTTGAAATATATAGATACTATTATAATTACCAAACCGCCTTGAGCAAGCGAGATTATTAATATTAATTCCTTCTCCATGGGAGAAAAGGTTTTTATCTAGCATAAATACAGTAACAGGGTGATGACGGTGCGTTACGTGTATGTCTGTATATACAGCTTTAGTTACATATTGCTAATTAGGTGCTGGCCGAGTGGCCGGCCCGTCCACTGATCATTTATTTACACAACGTACGCAAGGGATACACGTACACATGACACACTGACATTTAGGCCTTATTGAGAATTAGGGCGATCAATGAGCACTGGGACATGTTTATGATAGTGGACTATGTATATTTCAAAAGTTTTTAGTGCAACATTTTCCTTCTCCGACGGATTAATAACTAAGCGACGTGGCCAATGTTTGGACGTTCATCTAGTACACTGACACAGCTAGCCTGAAGGATCGCGAATATCTCCACACAGTTACTGTCCTTCTAGCGATCGACATTGAACCTGTGCGGAGTGCTACTCATAGGTTCTGAGCTCTGAGAACAAGAACAGTGGCAATATTGTGTGATAATGAGTTGCAGTGTACAGGAGCGGGAGCTGCCCCACTCAGGCCGGAAGAAGTCATTGTCTAGATGATTTTCCCTACATGCACGGCAAATGATTGGGCTGATATCTACGTGTCCTCAGGGAAACGATTGGTAGCCCAGGTTCAGAGCGACAAAAAAAAACTAGACGGTAGACGTCTCCTCCTGCTGTTACGAGTAAGCTCTTATGCTTGCAAAGACGGAGGCTGAACGCTCCTCCTTCTTCTTCCCAAGCCCCCACCAGCCCGCGTCGGGGATCGTGAGATGATCTCTAGTCATAGTTAGCGTGGGTCTACCAGCGTCTGATAGCTCGTCACCCCAATAGAACCGCTTTGGTCTCTTTATGTTAATTATAATGTCAATACACTGTCGCTTGTAGTCTCGTTACGGTCTCGCTACTAATGTATCCGTATCTATGCAACTCTCAATAATATCTATAGGAGATATGGGAATGCAATAAAAAAATCGCTTTTTTTCGTAAAAAAATATTGTGACAGAAAACTCTTTGACATCATGACGTCAATGGATGGTTGTCAAACGTTGCCTAGAGATTGTAAATTTCGTCGTGAATTGTCAACACGAGTTGGTGTAATCGGTAAGGCGTGTGGATTACACCACAGAGACCCCGAGTTCGAGTCCCGCCGTAAACATGAAGTTTTTTAGTTGATGGAAGTTTTGTCGAACTTTCTGGAATATTTGAGTGAAAGTAATGAAAAATTAAGGAGCGAGAAGGAGAATAAATAAAAATGAATAACGAAATTATTGGAAGGTCCAGAACCTTCCAATAATTTCGTTATTCATTTGGGGCATGACGATCAAAAAAGAATAACGAAATTGAATGTTCTAGAACCTGACCGGGGGTATATAAGCGGAACTGCGGCTCACCGCTGGCAGTTGAGTTCTAAGTCTAAAGCGATTCGGAAGAAAAGGAAGAAGTGAAAAAGAAGAAAAGTGAGTGAAATAGTGAAGTGCAGTGAAATAGTGAAGTGCAGTCAGTTAAGTGAAGTTAGCGTGAACGGCAAAGTTGTGTCAGTCGGCCGGACTCTGCTGGAGAGGAACGCCGATAACTTAACTCCGTGGACGCTGTAACTTAAGCGCAATAGAAAGTCTGAAAACCGGTATTAGTGTTTCATTTCATCAAATCCCGTAACCCAAGCCCGCATAGTCAGGAACGTGACGTCAGGCACGTAACATTTGGTGTCAGAAGTGGGATTGGAGAAAAATGCCGCTAGTGCCGCAGGACGTAAGAGGAGTGAGTACCCGTGCTATGTCAGAAGCGCAGCGTGTGAGGGAAGAGGGTGCTGCAGCTCAGACCAGCGATGCAGAAGCCAAGCCTGTGCAGATGGATCTTCTGCTACAGCTGCGGCAAATGATGGCAGAACAGCTGCGTGAGCTGAAAGAAGATCAAGCGCGCCGCCAAGAAGAGCAAGCACGCTGTCAGGCAGAACAGCTGCGGGAGCTGAAAGAAGATCAAGCGCGCCGCCAAGAAGAGCAAGCGCGCCGCCAAGAAGAGCAAGCGCGCCGCCAAGAAGAGCAAGCGCGCCGCCAAGAAGAGCAAGCACGCTGTCAGTCAGAACAGCTGCGGGAGCTGAAAGAAGATCAAGCTCGTCGCCAAGAGGAGCAAGCGCGTCGCTTGGAGGACATGCATAAAGATTTCACGAAGGGACTGCAAAAGGCTGTCGAACGGGTACAAGAAGTGGAGGAAGGTTTAGGCAAGTTGGAACATCGCGTCATGGCGATAGAGGAGAGAGTGGAAGAAGAGATCTCCAAAATCAAGCAGAAAGTGACAAGCCCAAGCCCTTTGAAGAGCCGAAGCCGTCTTGCAGCCGTTTTTGACGCCCCAAATGCGGCCTCAAGCGCAACGAAAGGGCTGAAGATTCCCCATTACGACGGAACAACATCCTGGACCGCGTTCAAGCTACAGTTTGAGACACTTATGGAGGCTTATGGTTGGACTCAGAAGGAAGCACAGTCAGCCCTCACCCTGGCCCTCCGTGATCAAGCGCTCTCAGTGCTGGAAGCTATCGGCGCAAGTGGGGATCTCAGCTTTAGTACCCTCCTCGACGCACTTGAGGCACGTTTTGGAGACAGCCACCTCGAGCACGTGTACAGAGCGCAATTAAAAGAGCGTACTCAGCGTGCTAATGAGAGTCTACAGCAATGGTCCGTGGAAATCGAGAAACTTGTGCGTCGAGCTTTTCGGTCGACTCCATCAATGATTGAAGGCACGCTTCTCCAAGCATTCATTGACGGTGTTCGGGACCCCGAAGTACGAGCTGCTGTTCATCTGGGCCATCACAAGAACATGAAAGAAGCTCTGGCCCATGCATTGGAAGTGGAAGCCGTGCGTGGTAACTCCCGTACCTTACGTCTGCGGGAAATGACGACAACGGAGCAGGTACCTCCACGCCGTCGGAACTTCATGTGCTATGGATGCGGAGAGCGTGGGCACATGCGGAGCGACTGCCCGAAGAAGGTGAACCGCCAGGACGCGGCGGTCTCAACTTCTGACCAGCAGGGAAACTAAATCCAGCCAGGGCTGCGGGGTGGGCGCTGGCCGGTAGTGGAATAACCCCAACAATCTACATCAAGCAAACTAACGATGGAAATACTCTGGTGATAGACGGTCAAGTAAATGGGAAAAACAGTCAGCTAACATTAGATACTGGAGCTTCAAGGACGGTGATAAATGTTCGGCTGCTCGGGCAAAACATCAGGAAACACGTTAAACCAATTGTTGGCCTACGAATGAAATCAGCTACCGGCCAGTGCATACCGATAAGTGGAAAACTGCATGTAACAATCAAAATTGGGGAACGTGTTTATCGACATGAGGTTATTGTGGCCAAAATTCTGGATGACTGCATCCTGGGACTTGACTTCCTGCAAGGGCACCAGTGTAACATCGACTTAAAATCTGGAGTATTACTATGTGGAACTGAGGAAATTCCGATGAAGGGTGGAACCCTGGGA